GACAGTGTAGATAGGAGGACATTATGGAAACTTCTTCGACACTACGGAGTTCCTGAGAAGATTGTCAATATTATCCGGAACTCATACGACGGACTACAGTGCAAAGTAGTGCATGGAGGACAGCTGACAGATGCATTCCAAGTAAGGACTGGAGTCAGACAAGGCTGTTTACTCTCTCCCTTCCTCTTTCTTCTGGTGGTCGACTGGATTATGAAGACCTCGACATCTGAAGGAAAACACGGAATACAATGGACAACTCAGAATCAATTAGACGATTTGGACTTCGCAGATGACCTAGCCCTCCTATCACATACACACGAACAGATGCAGATGAAGACAGCCAGTGTAGCAGCAGTCTCTGCATCAGTAGGCCTCAGCATACACAAGAGGAAAACCAAGGTCCTCAAATTCAGAGCGGAGAACAGCAATCCAATCACTCTTGATGGCGAAACTCTGGAAGATGTAGAATCCTTCACATACCTGGGAAGCATCATCGATGAACAAGGAGGTTCAGATGCAGACGTAAAGGCGAGGATTGGCAAAGCAAGGACAACGTTCCTACAATTGAAGAACATATGGAACTCAAAACAACTTTCAACCAATATCAAAGTGAGAATCTTCAATACGAACGTCAACACAGTTCTACTGTATGGAGCTGAAACTTGGAGAACTACAACAACCATCATCAAGAAGGTACAAGTATTTATAAATAGCTGTCTACGCAAGATACTCAACATCCATTGGCCGGATACCATCAGCAACAGCCTTCTGTGGGAGAGAACAAACCAGCTTCCAGCTGGAGAAATTAGGAAAAGACGATGGAAATGGATAGGACATACATTACGCAAATCGTCAAACTGCATCACGAGACAAGCCCTAACTTGGAATCCTGAAGGGAAGCAGAAAAGAGGAAGGCCTAAGAACACATTACGTCGGATAATAGAAGCAGATATGAAAAGGATGAATAACAACTGGAAGGAGCTGGGAAGGATTGCCCAGAGTAGGGTTGGATGGAGAATGCTGGTGAGCGGCCTATGCTCCTTTACGAGGAGTAACAGGCGTAATTAAGTAAGTAAATAATTGCTATAGTTAACCATGTTTTCTATTGGTTTCAGTCATTTGATGTTTTACAACTCTGAAATGCGAATGGCAATAGCCCATTCGCCACACCACCTATCTAGTTCATGTCAATTACAAAATCAAGCTGAATCAGACGACGTAAACAACTGTATTATTCAATGTGAAAACAAATGAAATAAAAATATTCATATCTACATATATTTTATATATAAGACAAGCAAGTAGATCACTCAATGTAAGCAACGAAAATAAGTTTTGATCAGCAAAATAAATTTTGAACATCAAATGATAGAATACCAAAACCATTAGAGTTGGGTATAGATCTACTGAAGCTTACATCAAAAGTAAACTGATCTGTCAACTAAATCCACTTTAAATGATTCAATTCATTGAGTATAGCCAATTAGGAAAATCAGTTCCTTAGTATTTAAAAAATCAAGTATCTGATAAATAATTACTTGTTTAGCACATATTAAAGCTGCTAATTTATAAGGCGTTAGTAGCGATTATTTTCGTAAGCGTTGGTTATTGATTGATAGTAGAGTACAGACATTGATAAAATGTAGCGCCACATACACACTATCAAAAGTTTTAGTTAAAAGAAACCCTGGAAAGAATCGTTTCTTCACAATGAACAGTAATAATATTGAGGATACTAATATTTCAATTTATCTATAGGACTGAAATATATTATAGCTATTTATTAACATTTATGTATGAAGTCTGCTACAGATAAGCTTATTAGCTTTCTGTATTTCTTGTTGGTTTTTCAAAGATATTCATTTTCTACTCTCGTTACTCAATATGTTATCATGTACACGACGTAAGTTCTATTCGGTGCTTTCGATTATTTTAATTTTTTTGGGCACTCTGAAAAAATTAGGCGATAAATCGCAACAGAGTTTTCATTTTAAGCTTCAATCGTCATGATATCCATAGGTTTTATCCTGGCATATGATGTTGAGTTACCCTGTTGATATACTTAGCAGGTGACATGTGTGATACTGAATTAGTTAGCGTGTTGTCTTTTTCCAAATTTTTCTCATTCTTTATGCTAGTTTCAGATATTTTAAAACAAAACTCAATTATCTTATGCAATAGAGATGCCAAATCAAAAAATGTATTCATGAAAGAATATCGTCAGATAATTGAATAAGATTAGCCATATCTAAGACAATTGAATGAAACAATGAGACTAAACAAAACGTTTTGTTACACAGATAAAAATAGTATATTCCAACTTAGTTTTCTTATTACAATGTAACACAGAAAATACTCAGTAACTAATATACTCTTTACAGGAAAGCTGATCCTATTTCACAAAGTTTATCACCCTTATATAGAATATTGTAAGTTTTCCTTTAACCAACTAAAATTTATTTATTCCTGTTGGGATATTCAGAAAAATATCCTAATAATTATTCTGTTAAGTCTGACGCTATCCTTGGACTTGAGATGGTATCATTTTCTTATTGGTCAATATTTATTTCACGTGTCATTTTCCTACTGGTCAATATTGTACAATGTTAGTTTGTATTTCATAGTACGATATGGTCTGCTTGATTGGTATATAAACAGAGTATGTTTGAAATATAACGATCCATATCTCAGAGGTTGAGATTTGCGTTGCTGGACTCGACTGGTTGGGCTAGACAGGGAAGCGGGACCAATCAGAACTCTAGGCCGTTCTTACGTGTTTGCGCGTCTTTGGTCCGATCGATAATACACTGTCCATAATTTGCAGTTCACAAGACACAACAATTCCCATTACCATAATCTATTTTATTATTCATTTTAAATCATGATACGAGAATTTGACATCGTCTTTCAAAAGTACTTGTTTAATATTCGAATACTGGTGAGCGGCCTATGTCCCCTCACGAGGAGTAACGACGTAAGTAAATATCCGTGCATAGTGTTCGAGTTCTACGGCTTGTAATTAGCTTTGAAAACACAATGTATCTTCAAAAGAACTTTTTTTAAATAAGCATATGTATAAATAAGAATGAAAACAAAGACACATTGCGTAATCGATGATTCACAGAGAAATATTACATAAAATCATTTAATAAGATTTGATGTGTATAAAACCAAAAAAAATATTTGATCTATCATATATTGGGAATCATTTGACTATATAATCATAGAAATAATTTCCAAGTAGAAATATCATATAAATGATCTAGTTAAAAATAACTCAAGGGAGTATTCTCAGGCATTTTTGAAGCATCAATTCATTAGAACCACCTTCTATTAGACTAAATCATGTTGTAAACGAATTACTTATGGATGCAGTTTGAGTGAATTGCTCAGGACAGGGTGGGATGGAGAATGCTAGTGAGAGGCCTATGCTTTTTCACGAGGAGTAAAAGGCGTAAGTAAGTAAACAATTTCAGTGAATTGTTGATAAAACTTTTAAGAATTTAGATTTTGAATGAGCATTCAATGTTCAACACCATATGCATACAAATAAGACTTCATATCGATCAGAATGCTTTCTTCTTAATAAATTTAAGATAAACGTATCTAAGTATCAATTGATGTATGATCAGTTGTAAATAATTTACAAATAACTCGTTCAAACCATAATTATGTAGGAAATAATTTGAAACATTTCGTCATAATACCTACGCTACTTACTAAAAATAGGTAGTTAACAATTGTACTTAAAATTCATAGTGACTGATAATACTTTGATCAGGTAGATTTTATCGAACAGATCACCCAATCATAATTGATTATCATTGAAGATTCCTTAACGTTAATTTTCTTCTTAGCAGATAATAACGTTTGGCTATTTATACAATTATATAAGTCATTGTAGAATATGCTTGATTTTGTAATGAGTATGAACTGGACATTTTCATAAATATTGGTGTCTGTGCAAAAACTTAGTAATATGGCTGCAGATTTCAGAATTAATCCAATAAGTTGTATCAAATTTTCTTTCGAAAGATGGTTATGAATCAAATGGAATCGAATATTTATTTCACGTATAAATGAGTTGAAGACCTAATTATGACTTCATAAATTTCAAATAGGTTATATTTACTTCACTCATCATTTGACAGATTTGAACAATAAACCTTATTCGCGTACCAACATTATACTAACTTCCTATACATATTACGCGTTGGCAGGAAGAACGTTGGGCTCTAAACAGCATTTACATACGCAAAAAACCCAATTACGTGATCAAATTAGAAGGACATATAATCTGTTGCACATTATTTTTTATGCTAACTAATAACATCGTATGTACAAAATAACATAATGGTCACATTTAGGTGGTTTTGTTCTGTAATTTGGATGGTTTGGTTGTGGAGTTCTTGTTGTTCATCTGAACAACATCATCGTCAAAAAAGTCAGGTAGAAGTTTGTGCTAATGATGATGTTCAGATGAACAATAAAAGCTCCACGAACAAACCATATAGCTCATAGAACAAAACTCCACCTAAATTATCCACATCAGCTACAAATCTTCCCCATCTCGTAATCGTCACATGAATATGTCATGGATGCGCACTGCTGAGGAGTCCCGTGCCAGGACGAAACGGCCGTCCAGTGCTTCCAGGTTTTACATGGTGGTCTAGCTTAAACTGACTCATGATCTCAACTGTTGAAATTACTACAATCTCCACAAAACCCCTTCTGATATATGAATATGTGACTACCAATTATTTCAACCAACGCAAGTGTTCAAAAGCTTAGATTATAAATATTATTATGTCAGTCAATCATTTGTAATAAACGATTTCCAGAAGTTTGAATGAAATTTTATCAGTACTAAATTGTTTACTCCTAGAGATAAATTACTCACACGTAAATATGTGACAAATTAAACCGATGAAAAAATCTACCATTTGTCAATATACTACTTATAACTGATTCATAATCAGTAAATACAAGAAACCAAATATCTAATGACAATTATAGTACTACTGAAAATAGTTTTTCTTTGAAAAAGAAAAAAGAAAGAAAACAAATCAAAAATGACTTGTGGAAATTAAAAAAAGAAAGAAAAATAATTTTGTAATATTACAAATTCCATTATTACCAAATGAATTATATACATAAAACATCTCTTTGAAATGATGGATGAATATAGATAGAATTATCCTTTGAATAATTATTGTAACAGGTAATTCTATGTTCATTTGATTAAAAAAAACAGGCAAATCTGTACTTGATTTCTTGATGCATGACATTTCAAGTGAAATACAAAGTATCATAATATTTATTCAATTAATGAAACAATTAAGAATTATCTGTGTTTCTCACGATCACAACACGAGATGATAACGATGAAACAGAATTAGTTGCTTTTGTAGAGACAGAAGAAGAAGAAGAAATAGGATTATTCATTGCATGTTCAATTCTGATAGGTTTAGGTGAATTAGTTTGTTTTGATGAAATTGAAGGAACAGGGCTATGCCTTATATTTTCACTTCTGATAGATCTAGGCGAATCAGTCTGTTTTGGTGTAGACAAAGAAGATGATGAAACAGGATTATTTTTTGAATTTTCGATTTCAATAAGTTTAGGTGATTCATTAATCTGTTTCGGTGCAGATAATAAAAGCCAAGGCTGTTGTTGATAAACAACAGTTTCTCCCTGAAACATAAATGATATCAATAGAAACATAAAAAAGGGAAATAGATTTTCAATTTATGTGTGAACTGACGCGAGTTAACAAAGGAATGTTTGCCACATTTTTGTTTATTTTTTCCTTTCATTTTAAACTTTAACTATACGTGTAAATATTTTGCTCGAAAATTACTTCCCATAAACATTGATTTTACTTACGTAATTAACTAGGACAGAATGTATGAAGTGTGAATAGAGCATACTGCTATTCAGTTAACGTTACAATGTAGCAAGTGATTAACTTGCTTTGATTTCCATTGGATGATGACCTCATTCCAACATATGATAAAACTATTTCCCTAAGTTGTGATAATATGTACGAGCAAATCAAAAATATGTACGGCCCAGTTGCATTCGAAATGGTTTATTGGGAAATTCGGAATTAGTTAGACGTTATTGTTACATATTAGTTTTTATTTTTTATTTAGTTAGACGACCACTGAAAACCAGAAACAACTGGAAAGCTGCATCGTCCAAATATGGGACTTGACAGCCTAAGGTCTCTCTGAGGATCAGACTCAGGATTTCCAGGTCTCGCAGTAAGCGCTTAAGCTTTAGACCACTGGGTCGGCATTCAGTGATTTATACTTCCAACTTCAATCCATTCGCGATATTGCCCAACCATCTTACAATGTCATCAGTGGGTAACTGCCTCACACTTGACATGGTTAAAATCTACTTGTCACGACTTCTCAGTAAAACTCCGGAAATTATTTCCCGAGTTACTAGCACCTAATGTATTGAGAAAACCAGTGGCAACTTCTCTAAAACCATGTTGAATGTGTGAAGAGAACAAATTTATTTACTTGACGACAATTTTTAGCAGAAAACTATACCAATCACACAACTAACCCTCCTTTCATCCGGACAAATAACTAGAAATTTCACGTATTATTGAATGTTAAAACCGAGTAAAATCTTTGCCAATTTATTTCGGTTCCTAATAGTAAAGTGAAATTCCAAATATTAATAGCCTTCAAGAAAGGATAAATATACAACAAACAGCAGATTTGTACGTCACATATCCACCTTAAGAAGCATAATGAATGTGAAACTTCAGATTAAAGATTTTAAAAATCGGTCAAACTAATGACCAAACTCTATTCTATGAATAAGTATTTCTTGAAATATGATGGAAATCTATATTCTAGTATTTAAATGCAATCGAAGATGACAATCACTAATATGGTCAAACATTTTCCCATTTTAAGTGAATCTTTATTAGATCTATATCAGATAACTGTAAATATAAACTTGTGAGTATATCTGAGTTGAGTCGAGAAATGGAATCCAGGATACGTGTTTTATTTTTTCAGAACCTTGATGTGCCCACATTCCAGTAATGAATTTCCCACTCGACTTCACTACTTATCGCTACAAACATTAAACTATTGAGTTCAAATAGCTATTAACTCATTTAATGGATATGAAACTATTTGTTAAGCATGATATTCTTCTGCTGACGATATTCATTATTAAAGGACACTTTTGCAGTGAAGCTATCATCATATAAAATTAATAGCTACTATTGAAAACATATATTCGATAGTTTATTCAGCATTGGCTGATTAAATTCCGGTATTTTAAAACAATAAATATATGAAGCAGATAAAATCAACACATACACACACTTACGAGTACCCAGACATTATCAGAACAGTAAACATCACATGGAATCACAACGTATTTGGGTTGGCTTATGAAAAACTACATCGAATAACCCAAAACGAAAGAATATAGACAATTCTAAGATGTTTCAATCACAAACAATGTGATTGCTGTTTCATAATAAATATTTCTGTGTTATTAGCTTTATAAATCACTAATAAATACATTTAACTGGTTTAGCAAAAGCATAATGATCTACTATGTTGAATATAGATTACAATAAACTAAAGATTCAATTAATTGACAATAACTTACACTAAGTGATTCACGTTGTCTTAATTGTACTTGTAGACGACCCCCTACTACTTTACGACCTTCTTTCAAATCACCAACATGAGTTACGGTTGCCGATTGGACAAGTCCAGTAAGAGGAATTTCAGTTATACCTAGTACACCCCAGCTTCGAAATATACCACGATTGTAATATACCTGAGAACAGAATAAAAATGAAATTTTAAATGTTTATTGTTATAGTATTTCAACATAACAAGATATGAGTTAAAATGAATTAAAATTATTCATCTATAGGTGATCCTATGTCAAATGGCATTTGAATAGTTTTTCAGTTTTGAATTAACTAATTAAGAGGCAAAGTCAATCAAGAAAAATGAGTTGTCAAGTTGAATAATATTCTTTTTATGATATTTCAAGTTAAACGGTACCTTAAAAAATATGACAAACAAAATTGAGAAGGAAATTTACACTTTTAAAGAATAAATATAAGTTTCATTACATATAATACATATCATTTTGGGAAAAAAAACGAAAAACCGAAGATTCCCGATCATATATTGTCTAGTTTTCCAATCTGTGTTCATCATAAAGATTACAAAGACAGTAATAAAGAATTGAAATTTACAATTTATTTATTTGAACACATAGATATTGGTACAAGAGAGCGCCAAACAAAACAATGAGAATTTAAAGAGAAGGAAAAAGAAAAAAAGGTAAGGAGCGTAAAAAAAGAGAGCAATAAGGAAGAGATTGGTATGAGGTAGTGTAATAATAATAGTAATAATGGGGGGAACGGAAAGGTACAATCAGAAGAAATCTTTCAGTTAAGGAAGAGACAACCACTTTTTATGAAGAAAGTCAAAGAAGGTTACAGCAGGATCGCCACTGGCTTCTATTCTGAGCCATATCTGATGACATCTCTAGCCACTGTGTAGCACCATCTCTCGGACCCCAACCAGGGAGTTGTGAAGCCAGTCCTTTGCAACTTTCTTTCATGCCACAATACCATGTCATATACTGACCACCTCTCCGCTTTTTCTAACCAGTCCCAGAGTCGGCAAATAGTTACATAAGTGCTTCTATGAATTTTATAATACAGCTAGCAATACATCTCTTAGATAACAATAATAATAATAATAATCGAACATTAAATTCTTTCAATTAAATTTAGACTAGAATCTGATCAGCTATTTTGTGAGCATAGAATGATTAAAGTAAATGAAACTAAAATATAACTAAATCACAAGAGTAGAGAGAGATGATGGTTACATATCAACCAATAATCAATTTTAATGGAAAGCTATTAATGATTTGTTTTTTTCTCATATTGTATCGTTTGAATATTAATAATTATACTGACATAATCATATGTTTATTATTCATATGGTTCGAAATTTTCTATGATTATAATTTTTACTAAAAAAATTATTCATTTGATCATTGGAGTATTGTAATGTTGGAATGAACTAATGATACCTTTGTACTTGTTGAATGCTTGATTTCGAATTCCAAATGCAGTACATTCGTTTGTGGTTATCTAGTACTTCTTGGTCCAATTATGTTATTTCTGGAATTCTTATTTCATACTATAATTCAAATACTCCTAATCATCATATTTAGCGCCGCGATGGAGCCTGTGATCGAACGGTTAGACATACATTCAGATTTTAATGCTTTTAAGGATTACTTTGAAAGGTTCGAAATCTGGGCTATGACCAAGGAAGATGCTGAGGATGTTAATATTGTAGCACATTTCCTCATATTCATCGGAAAAGAAGCATATAGCTTATTAAAAACTCTGGCCTTACCGGAAAAGCCCATTTCGCTTTCTTATATAATTCTCAAGGATCTACTGTTAGACTATGTTCAGTATACAAATTTCGAATGTGGTAAAGGAGGGAGATTTCGTAAAATGATTCATGAGGATGTAAAAAATTCTAATGCATTTCGTCATCCCAACCCAGTGCATACTCAAGGTTTTGCAGATAATTCATTGAGGAGCTGCGATGCAGTTCAGTCAGTCAGTCAGCTGCAACGTAGGACCAGGCACATATATGCATCGGTTCAAGTTGCCATACCTCACTAACACAACAAGATGGACACCGGATTCATAAAAGTAGTTAATTCAGAGGTGGTAATATATAAAAGAAAGATTGCAATAAGGATATAGTACAGAAAGAAAGAATTAGTTCGTAGAAAGAAAGATATGAAGCGATTTTAATCTCTTAGTTTAAGGGAAGACAGGGAGCGTATACACCGACGCCATTGTGATCGATTCTGAGCCATGTCACCAAGAGTCTCCAACCATTGGTTACGATAGTCACGCGGACCACAACCAAGTCGTATGCATCTACAAACACGGCTCAGACTAGAAGTTGGTGACTTCAAGCACTGATGCCCCATTTCGGTTTGGTAGACCCTAACTTTCTTCCAACCATCCCGAACACCGGTTAGCATTGCACGTCGTGACCGGAATACAGCAGCATCTCTGCTGAATTTATCCTTTTCTATCTAGCTTGGGTCCAATATGTTTCACTGATTCCGAGTACTGCCAAGTTGTATCTCTTGATTTCCGTTGCTAATTAACTGGTCCTTTCCGTTTCCCACATTGTTCGGACGCTCCATGTACTTAAGCTAATTGTCGGTCTGGTTGTTAGAAGGGTTATCGACTTCGTGACTTGTGAAGAATCCCGGCTTTCATCATGAGGCGTCATGATTTTCCCTTCAACTCCCAGGGTAGCATTTAAATGGTTTATTTTGTTTATTCTGGTCGAAGCTTGATGCCATACCAAATATTATTTGTCCGCATAATCCATTTGCTTCTCGTGGGAAACTTGTTCAATGTGAAGGACAAGTACTGAATGACCTCGATTTTGGTTACAATTCGGATGATTCCATATCAACTGCTATTTATCCTTATCACAAAAACACTTCTAATGTTTACTCTAACCAATGTAAGAAATAAGTTTTAAATGAAGCCACATCATTCATAAATTGGGGATATAAAGATCCAACATTATTTCGTCGGGGAGGGTAGTCTAAAAGTCTAAGGTTCAAATTCTAGGTAGCAGTGGTTTCAGTACACAACCGACATGCTGATTACACAATCCCAGGAAGCAGGTGAGTTTGTTCCGATTTCGGTTGTTAATTCTAATACTAATGAGTGCATTCTAGATAATAGTTTTTATACATACAATGTCGGACAGACACAGGATGAACTTGAGAAGAAGACGTACAATTGATTACAGACACCTAGACTCTAATTTAAGCTGTGGCGGATGTGGTGTTTGAATGAACTAATGATACCTTTGTACTTGTTGAATGCTTGATTTCGAATTCTAAATACAGTACATTCGTTTGTGGTTATCTAGTATTTTTTGATCCAATTACGTCATTTCTGGAATTCTTAGTTCATACTATAATTCAAATACTCATGATTATCATAAGTATACAAACATAATGTGAGAAATACTTTCTGGTTACGATCAATTTTATGGTTCATTAAAATTATACACATAATTTGGAATTAGTAATGATCTAGTGCACGTAGCATATACGTTGGATGCCAATGTTATGCCTATAAAACAAAAGTAGAATACCGAAATCATGTTTAGTCATCTTTTTAGCACTTAATAAGCAAAGTATACTACTTACACATTAAGATGATGTACCAGGTGAGTCTATATTGAACAGGTACTTGGCTTATATTAACCCGTATGGTAAACTATGAATATGAATTCGTCTGGAAAAATGTTACGACATATAATGACAATCAGAGAATTTTCGGAAGTGTAACAATTTTATCAGTCAATAGTCAATAAACAAACTGAAATAGACTTAATTTAGGAACAAAAAATAAAAATGACTACTAGCTACAAAATTAGAGATCTGTTGTTAAATAATGATATTGACATAAATATGCATACGGTAATAGAACAAATACGAACAACAGCTAATCGAAATTTATCTTGAAAGAACAAGAAGTTAATCGATTCTGTGAAAATTTTAATGAATCGCTTCTGCATTGACGGTATTATTTAGGAAGTTAATAAAAGCTACATAACTAAACCAAAGAGAACAAAAAACACTATACCTTTGAAATTTCACTACTGAGGAACTAATCTTCCCTATAATCTTAAACGAGGATAACATAAATATCTATGTAGATCACTAACCAAGTACTCAATTATGTACTTGACTTTCAGTCAAATATTTTGTGCATAGGCTAATTGATATTAACCGTTTTGATACCAAATTATTTGAAGCCGAGTTTGACTCAATAAAATCATAGTTACCAGTAACAAAACTGACCAAGGGAAAACACAACCTTAATATACATACAAAATATTACATAGAACAATGCAATTTATGTGAACATGCAATTGTAAACTAATACAACTGAAAACTAGCTTACTGTTGCTTTTAGACAACGATTATTTTGAACAAATCGTCTATATGAATGACTTTTTGTATTTACACGAAATTCTTTAACTGATTGACTATATATTGGTTCACTACTTGATTTAACTACATTTGTAGATAACTTCATTGGTGGATTGGCATTATTTAAACTGAATTCAACTTCAACATAAGTATCAATATTTGAATAATGTGATGGAAGTGGATAAGCTATACCATGAATATTACTAACTTCAAGTATATCATCCGCTAATTCAGCATTCAAATTACATTTAGGCAAATTGGCATATTCAAAATATGCGGTTAAATTAGATACATGTTGATTGTATTTAGATAATAATTTCTTGATACACGTATTCACACTAAGTAAATCAGATAATTTCGATAATATCGAGTGTGCATTAGCACCGCCATTACGACGATGTTGATTTATTAAATTGTTAATTAGTTGTTCTTGTTCTGATAAAATTTCTGAGTATGTTTTAAATAACTGATCACCTACATAGAACATGAAAAATTGATCTTGAAATATAGTTGTTTAAAAAGTATTAAGTAACAAAGAGAACATATCATAATGCTTGACTGTAAGGGTTTCCTGTCGTTAATATTAAGGATTATAAGTGGTTAGGAACCAACGTAGTCTTCAGCATTAACAATAGTGAACAAGTAAGTGGCTATTCGGATTGAATAGTTCGATGGACAAAATGCTGAAATTTAAAGTGAAAGGCATCAGGTTCGAGTCCCGGGGTAGTCACTAATAGTGAGATGGAGGCACATCTAATTGACGAGTTCCGAATAAGACGAAATGCGTATCTTAGATCCCACTGCTAGACACTATCCAACTCTAGTAAAAATTATTTTGATAGTATTATCATATATAATTTAAGTGATAAATACAAATCAATATGAATTTAAATAGATTTCGTTAAGTATAATTCATAGGATTATATCTAGCACCGAATTCGATGAGTCCTACCGTTAGTCTTGTACGCATTAAACATTATGTAACCCTAGAATACAAATGAATAATAGAGTGAGCTACGCTACAGCCAGAAATTTGTTCTAAAGAATTGTAGTTACTCAATCAGTTACAATCAACATACAGCCCGGGTAAGTTCGCATAAAACATTAGCACGACGAGATGAAGTCAACAAGATGAATAGCAAAATAATTGAAATATTTGTAGTAGCATTAGTAATCAGGAGTACTAAACAGTTAGAGTATGTTCAAGAAAACGAAATGTGAAAGTATATATGTATGAAGGGAAACTGAAACTGAAGATCTAGGAAGATTAAGAGTGAATGCATCTGAGGTAGGTCAGCCAAGAATAACAATGTATGGGATAAATCTCAATGGGGTCAAACGGTTACATTTCACAACAATACAGTAGGGAAAAACACAAGACAGAGAAAAGAAGAAAGAATAACGGATTGTCAATTGCAATGGCGAACGAATGGAATAATGGAACAAAGACTCTGAAATAACATTTACATTTCAACGACAGAAAATATGAATTCAACTGCACCACCAAGACAGATTTTGAGGTGTGACTAAAGTGTTATATTTATATATTATGATTACTCTGGAGATCCCAAATAGAAACCATGTGTTTTCTTACAATGCTCAGTAAGTTTCCTAATATTTTCTAATATACTCCTACGCTAACTAGTATTGTACGGTTAGGAGTTGCAGGGTATAACTCAAACGTGTCCCATCTACCCCAGTATGACTTGATAAGTAGCTTACCCTGAGTAAGTCATAATTCGAATACAGCTTTTATCGAATAACTGCAGTATAAGAACGTTTTCTACCTTTAATAGTCAGGTATTTTACATTAATTAAGTGATGCATAGTTAATTGTCGAGCCATTTATATATATAGGGATTTTGTTCGCTCCATGGACGAGATACAGTAACAAAAAATAGACGAAATTTCTCAGGGTGGTTGGATTTCACGTACCAACCAGTTACCAGCCGAACTGAGTCTATCAGTACAATGTTCAACGGGCTCAGCTACACTACTCCCTATGATCAAATCTGTCAGTGACACTAGCTTATTAGTTCTAAAGCAACAGTGTGAGCTTTGAAGAGAGAAAAGCATCGCAAACATCTTAGCATTAGTGTTCAAAAGACTGAATTCTGTCATTCGTATATTGTAAGTGAATGAGAAGGTCAATGGGTAGTAGGTCACCCTTTGAGAAGTGTCACCAGTAGAAAGAAACGTATCTATGATGAAATTAAATAAAAAGCAAAAGAATAGCAGAAGTATCGAAAGTGTGCAACAATACTTTTTTAAAATTCAGTTAAATTTCTCTAAAAAAGCATACTATTTGAAACGATTTACCTGATAAAGAATTAAAAGCAACGGCATACTTTACAGGTGGATCACATTTTAATCCACTTAATATAGGTCTAGATGGATTAGAATCAGTAAGTGCAGGTGGCCGTGGTAATTGAGTTAAATCTATTGGTAAGCCAGCTTCAGCAGCTTGTATCATTTGATTCATTCCAAGAACTGATCGAATGTACGTTTTAGCCAATTCAATATTACCAGATTGTTTTGCAGCTTTAGCGGCTTGTTTCAACTCATCTTGACGTTTAGTTAATAGTTCAACAATTGCTTCCGTTTTACTTCTTATTGGATGCCCAGAGCTAGGTTTTGCAAGAGATATTTTTGGATCATTGTTAGATAGTTTTACATTTTTACTTAATTTAGAACGATCAGTAAGTGGAGGATAACCTGGAGGTGGGACCAACTCTTCAAATTCAAACGAAGTAACTCCACGTTCACAAGCTCTCAGTCCTTCATCATACCGTGTGAGAATACGATTGTAACGACGTTTCTTTGAGTCATCGTTGGTTATTTCCTTTAATTTTTCCTTTGACGAATAGACAGTAAAATTAGGTGAGAAAAAATCTACGTGATACAGTTTACCACGATTTCGTATTACGTAATAATAAGATAATTTGAGCTAATTAATAGTTGTTATTTAGCGGATTTCTTTATAGTTTATAGCGAAATAACTTCAAAACTGTTAGCCACCATCCATCTCTGTTTAAAAATACTTGTGATTTAACGGTAATATCGACGCAATCCAAGAGGATGCACTATGTCAAAATGGATTGATTAACTGAAGTTTTAAGTGCAAATGTCAGCCAGTCAGTCAGTAACAACGTAGAACTTCGTACGTACGTACATCAGTTCGAGTTGCCACATCACATTAGCAAAGAGATGCAGTGGTCGATTCAAATCCCGTGGTGCTAGATGTAGTAAAATTATAAGCTGTAATTAGAAAAATTAGGGTTTGAGAATGTTATTCAAGGAGTATAATCCAGTGAAATAAATTTGGAAAGAGAAAAAAGAAAGGGATATGAAGAATTCAGAAGATTAGAATTTGGGAGAACACAAAGAGTGGATGCACCCGCACCATTGCAAACCATTTTGAGCCATGTCATTCAGGGTCTCTAACCATCGGTTGCTATCATCTCGCGGTCCCCAGCCAGGTAGTCTACACTTACCAATATGACTCAGTCCACTTGTCAGTGACTTCATGGACTTGTGCCATGTTTTGGTCTGGCCGCCCCTAGCTTTCTTCCATCCTACTCCTATACCACTGAACATCGCACGTCGAGGCAGACGGTGGTTGGGCATACGTAACACGTGTCCAAGCCATCTCAACTGATGAAGTTTCACTACGTCATCAATTGATTTGCCATTCTTACCTAGTACCCGTTTTCTAACAACTGTGTTACTTACTCGATGGTCCCATGATATACGAGCAATGTCTCGAAGACACCTATGATCGAATACTAGTAGCCTACGAACATCATCTACTCTTACCGACCATGTTTCACTGCCATAAAGTAGGAAGGAACGAACTGCTGCGCAGTAAACACGTCCTTTGGTTGGTAGACAGATATCTCGCCTACGCCATAAATGATGCAAGTTGGCAAAAGCTAGTTGAGCCTTCTGTATCTGTGCTGAGATTTCTTCACACACTAAACCACAAGGGCTGATGAGACTCCCAATCATTAGTTCAGGTGTCGATGCAACCCAATTCTGAAGCAACATTTTGCATTTCGAGAGGGAGAATCGCATCCCGAACATGCTTGCATTGTTGCTTAGAGTGGTCAGAAGACTCTGCATTTTGTCAGCGTCTTCACCAAATAAAACTATGTCATCAGCATATTCTAAGTCAACAAGTGAACCTCCCGATGTAAGTTCAACCCCTGGAAATTTAGATGAGGAGAGTGTTATCTCTAAAAGTACGTCAACGACAAAGTTGAACAAGAATGGGAGAGTGGACAGCCCTGACGAACACCACTTGAGGTAATCAATTCTGATGACAGTTCGCCATAAGCTCTCACTCTACCAGTTGTGTTCGAGTAGAGAGCCTTTATAAGGTTAATGTACTTCTTTGGTACTCCTTTCAGTGACAAACACTGCCATAGAACCTCACGATCAACAGAGTCGAATGCCGCCTTAAGGTCGAGAAATACTACCATTGTGGGGCGTCTGAATGTGTGTCTGTGTTCTAGAACCTGACGTAGTGTGAATATCTGATCTATACAACCACGTCCAGGTCGAAAACCAGCCTGGTTTTCTCTAGTCTGCTCTTCACGAGCTTTAGTTAGGCGTCGAAGTATTATTGAAGCTAATATTTTAGACACTATATTAGTCAAACTGATTCCTCTGTGATTGTCACAAGAGGACTTTTGTCCTTTCTTATAGACTGGCACAATCAGTGATTGAGACCAGTCAGATGGGATTACGTCCAGTTCCCAAATTCTACCTAAGACCTCAGTTAATCTCATTGCTAATACTGGACCACCATCCTTAAAAATCTCAGGAGTAAACCTGTCAGGGCCTGCTGCTCTCCCTCGTTTCAGATTTCCTATGGCTTTTTCAACTTCGTAAAGAGACGGAGGACCTACATTAACTTGCCATTCAGGTTGACTGGAGATCGTGGGAAACCGAAGTGTGGCTGAAGGCCAGTTGAACTGATCCCTAAAGTGTTCTGCCCATCGATCCAATCTCCTGGATTGAGAATGAATAATATGTCCATCTTTCTCTGAGATTGTTTCGCTAACGGTCGGGTTCCTAATTCCGGTTTCCTTAACGAGTCTGAACAATTGTCTGCTATTACCTATTGCCGCTGCCTTTTCCATCTCTCTTGCTTTCGCTACCCACCACTGTTCGCGATCATTGCGTAGACTTCTTGTCAGCTTGCGCTTAAGCTGACTCCGCTCTTCATTATGTTCAGAGCCAGGTGGAATGAGTTTCCGAGCATCTATCAGTGAGATAGATGCTGCTGAGATCCAGTGTTGCTCCCTAACCTTCCGGTTTACCTTACTAGCAGATATCACTGCTGTTTCCACAGCTTTTCGGATATCATTCCATGCTGCATCGGGGTGGGCATCACATACATGGCTGCCTAACTGTTTTCCTAGTTGTTCCTGAAATATACTCTTAGCTTGACTATCATTAAGTAGGCCCTAAGAGGTTTCCTTGCAGCGTCTTTCCTACGTCCAGTAAGACGCAAGCAAATACGCGCTCGCACTAGAGCATGATCTGAATCTAGGCATGTGCTCCAGAATGAGCGACAGTCTTCTATCGAGCCCCTCCATCGGTGGCTGATAGCGATGTGATCTATTTGGGTCCAACGTTGGGACGAATTAGGGGGTCGCCATGTTAAAAGATGTTTTTCCTTATGCTTAAAGTTAGTATTTGCAAGGAACAGGCGGTTATCTGAGCATAGCTGCAACAGACGGTCGCCATTATCTGTTCTTTGAGCCACGACACCATAAGATCCACCTAGGTGTCTTTCCCTTAGTTTACCTACTTGAGCATTAAAGTCACCGGCCACTATTACTACATCCGAGCGCCTAGCTTTTCGGAGAAGGTCCGAAAGCTTTCTGTAAAACTCATCTTTTACATCATCTGAGCTGCAGTCAGTGGGAGAATAGGCAGAGACGACGAAGAGGCAACGACGAGTGTCCCTATCTTTCCGGATTCTTACTGTTCCGTTCAGTCGGACAGCGCACAAACGACTGTCTACTGGGATCCACTCTAAGAGAGCTAGTTCTGCCCTAGGACTCAATGCTATACCTACGCCGGCGAGGCCACGGGAAGCAGAATCAGGGCTTCCAGATACACGAAGCGTAAATCGAGTCGGTTCTTTATTTTGGCATGGTGAGGTCAAATGAATGACGCTACTCGGATCCTGTATGCGCGTTTCGGAGACGCAGCACACATCGATGGCGCGAGATTCTAAAGTCCTAGCTAAGGAAGCCTGCTGTCCTATTTGGCACAGTGTTCGTACGTTAAAAGCTCCTACGTGTAGTTTAGAGCGTGGTTTCAGGAGACCAGGAATGGCGTTCCACGTACTCGAATCGTTTGCCCTAGCGGTGCGAGGTGATAAAGAGACGTGAGGAGGGTTAGTCATGGAGATAAGAGAGGTATTAGGAGGTGTAGGAAGGATTTGAATGTGACCACCTTGGTCTCTTGTGCTGTTACGGGTATGAGGGCTGATGTCACTTCCCGGCTGCCCACACCGTGGAAGGGTATTTCTTGAGGAACCTGAAAAGGAAATTGGATTAGTGTTGGTCTTGACGACCTGGGAGCGTGACCGCAGAGCCCAAGGGACAACTGCTTGAGGCCGGTCGCGCACGGCCTTTTTGTGGAAGGTTTTTAACGTGTTAGCTCCGTTCTTCAAAGGGCCTTACCGCCGGAGACGGAAATCCGTGAGGTAAGGTGAGGTGTGACATTTTTAGGGTCGACCTTTTCTAACCCCACCCCTCCTTGTGGGAAGGCAGCATCGCTGTCATGCTGGTTGTCCGAGGGAAACACCTTACTGCTGTCACACCTCTCTACAGTCAGCAGTACGACTTCGCCCTCAGACCTTGAGTTGCTGCTTTTAGTCTTACCGTTCTCCAATCGACCTGCCTGGCATGGTAGAACCTACAGGAACATATGTTCCAGCCAATATAGCTCGGTTGGGTCATCACGATAGGCAAGCCCGACCACCGCGTCAAGGTAGCAGCTTCGGTCGGGCGAGATTCATTATGCTTCACTAGTAAATGTAAGCATCGAACTTTATTTGTGGATATGACTGGATGCTGAGGATATTCCCATTGTGACTCATTTGTAGCTGTATTAACATAGTATGGTTTTCCACTACTAGAGAAGATTCAAATAACCAAAACATGTGAATTGAAATCCACCCCACCACATAAGCTAGTGACTATCTAAACTCAGTAGCGGACTGGATATAGTATTGAGTTTTAACCAAAGAAGGAACATCAACTCTGAGATGCGAGTATATCCAGCTGATGAGTCCCAATGAGGACGAAACGCGCGTCCTACATTTCACTACCAATCACAAACCATCTATGTTCAAAGCTGTGTCTGATAATTAGTTACTTTTCTATTGCTAACCGAATGACTATTTGCATTATTCGATCAAGTAAACCAATCAGGCACAGAGATGCAATAATATACACTTTTGTATGTAATGATAGTGATTGTATTTCAAAGGAAGATCGACGTTTACATAGAATTCCAATCAATGATTTTTATCAGCATTATATGAAATCCTATTAAACTGGCAATAATTATTATCAATTTTTTTGGTTAACTGTAACGTGAATAATAAATACGTAATCACTTGACTTCATCAAATTGGTTATTGAATTACATTTTTTGTCTTAATTAGGATCGAGGTCAATAAGATACTAGATTGACTACTAGTTAAACTACACATTATATGATAAATTTTACATCAATTAAATTAGTCGTTGATAACATAATAGTAAAATTTAATATTGACGATATACACCAGTAAACTTATATGTAAAAACGATATTTCGAAACATACTTTATAGTAGGTTATACGAGCTAAGATATTTTCTGTGCAAACAATAGACGTTTTCATAATATCTGGTATCGTCGATTTTACAGGCTGAGATGAAGGTGGTGGCTGAGCAATCACAGTTTCATTGTTTGGATCCCCCTCATTAGAGAATTCATACTCCGATGGAGGAGGAGGTAAGTCTGTCTCTGGATCGAATGTTTCTTTGCCAGCTTCTATATTCACGATAGCTTCTCCAATACACTTTGATGCTTCCAATAATTCTTTTGCTTTCCCTAGTTGGCCTGTATCACGAGCTTTCAAAGCAGCTAACTTATGTACATAATGGCAACAGTATATATGAAAATTACTCACATATCAAATAAATAAATAAATAAATAAAATACTCATCCTTCGAAGGCAAAAAGCAAAGTGAGTAAGAAATTAAACGGGATAATAATATCGCGAAAGCCATCGCACGCAATCCATTTTACCACCATTTTTATTTCAAACAACAGTATTAGGATACTGAGGAAGTCTTCCAATTTTTCTCATTCCCCTTCGACCTTACAATTGACTAAATTCTGAAAGTACTAAAGAGAATGAGTAGTGTTGATGTCACTGAACTAATACTTGAAGAAATAAAACTAGGCTTTGTAACTTCACGATATTCGGTCATGAGCGGGCCTCTGAACGTCAGCTACCAATCTCTAACAACACTGAGTCATGATGAAGTTCAACAGTGCGTGTTCGGGCATAGTACATATTATAATTTTTGACCGTTAATATCATCTCGAAACACTGACTTTGGTAACATAAAAGCGTACTGTGTGTCGTCAAAGTCAAAACCGTACGTTAAGTACGATCAAAATATTTTGATCGTCGTAAAGAAATATGTCTACTTTGACACCGTATATTTTTTACAAATATGAATCGATTTCCATAAACTATTCATAATTTGATAAATTATCAAATAAAACGTCTGAAAAGATTTTTAACAAACAGTTATTTCATAGATTGCATTATAAAAATTGAGAAAGTAGCTAACATGAGTCAAGCTCGTTTGATACTCATACATTATTACATGTGTACAGCTGTTTATGCGACCATACATAATAAGAGAATGAGTACTACACTCCGGATCTTCTTACAAAAACGAAACATGAGAACAGACGACAATGAGATAATTTTGAAAAATCAAGCTTTTAAAACACAATCTAAGGTATATACAAATTTATCTCTAACGATCTAGAATATCATGTTTACACAAAGCACAATACATTTTGGTCCCATAAATGAACTTGACCTGAATTCACGGAAAACGGATGAGCCTTGTTAAATACACGTAAACCCAGACAATTCTTAACATACCAATACTTATGTTTAAATATTGATCTGTTGTATCATGCATTCCTACTAGTGTTATATAAACATTTGATTTCTTTTGAAACAAATAACAAGAAATGTTACGTAGGTACATACTATGTCTAAAGTGTTAATCAGTTAGAAAGCATAAGTATTTTGACTAAAATACCAACCACTAAAGTATTAGTAAAATTTTCACCAACCTAACGATAGAACTCACAGAACAGAATTAGTACAGATAAGTTCTTCAACAAAGCTATGATTTACATCTACTGAGTCAAACAAAAAAGATTATTCAGAGGTATTAGATAGAATACGATTCAAAACTGTGATCAAATGGTTAAAAAAGAAGTTGGAGGATCTAAAAATACACAGCACAAATCAGAACATGGAGCCTGAAATAATTGGTTATATAATGAATATACTAAAATGCAATATAGTGTAGAGAGTTCATGAAGGTCTTCGGATTGCATGGTTTACATTACGAAGGGATATCGGTTGAGCCATCGGTAAAAACCTGGGAGCACCGAGAAGTTGTTTTGTATTAGTATGGGACTCCCCAAAAATACACAGCCACGACCCCTCCAAGGATCGAATATGGGATCCTCATATCCCGCGGCGAGGGCTTAACTTTTAGACCGGTAGGTTTGTACCCAATAATTTGCATTTCTAACTTCAATTGATTCATAATGCTGAACAACCAAGATCAGTCTGTAGTGTAAACTATGAAAATCAACTAAACAAATCAAATCATATGGGAATAGCCATCATCTATGAGATAATGGTTTGAAAAAGGGGAGAAAACGTATCCCGTTAATCTACATTTTAGAACCTGAAATACACACGATAAGTGATATGATAGAAGCACCATGACGTAATACCTGAGTTTTTTAAGTGTTTACATAAGGTTTATATGGATTATAATCTGCTTATTCTGCGAATAAGTATTAAAAAATGTTTTTCACTATAGATTTTAAAAGGATGATTAAATGATAGATAATTATATATATATTTTTTTACGAAATGTATCTACCTAGGATGCAAATATAATTTATTTTGATAAATCAATACTTTAAGTTTGCAAACAGCAAATAAAAATCCCGTATTTTTACAGAATTCATCTTAATGAATAGTGACCAGTGTTACGTTTTTCCAGTTCTTTTTAGTCTTGATCGAATCCTATCAATTAAGTTGCAATGTGACAACTGGTATGAATGACTTGACACTGTGGATCACATTGAAATGTTAGGCTGTCAACTACATTTAAACACCTGACATAAATTCACACTTAACAGCAAGTATTGTTGTTGAGTTATTAACCTACTGTACTGATTTCTAGCATTCACAAACTCATGATAAACTGAAAGATTTTACCCTTAATTTTGTGTGTCTTATTTACATGAGTTACTTAAGATATTTCTACGATTCTGAAAAAATCTACATTATATCAAAAGTTTGAAGTTGAGTCTATTATTTTATGAATTTCACTAATCAATAGAAATACGGAATGTTGAACTTTGAGACAACTTTAGAAAAACAATCAGATTAGATTCGAGCGTTTAAGAAAGCTTTTTTTGAAAAGATGGAAAAACAGATACAAGAAACTCCACTGATCAGGAACACAACATACCAGTGACAAACAAATTAAAATTTCATTATATTTTGTCTTAGACTCTTGGTTACATGGGCTTGATTTATTTAGTTACATACTATGATTTGCATGATTCATTTGCTTACATACATGAAGGGTGAAGTTTAAAAAAAAAGTTAAAACTGGATTACACCATCGCCATTCCTATACAGCACCCATAATTTGAATTTTTCCAGTTATCAGAAATAGAGTAGCGTACATCCAGAGTAGAAATAAACCAAACAATTGATATAATAGAAAAGTGTATGACAAAGAAAAGTGAAACAACAATCATAGTATAAACTATTTTACAAATTTACTTTGTTCTACTTAGAAATGGATATAATTGAAATAGACTTCAAACTAACATTTACTATTGTATAATCGTAATAACTGTTGACAATAATTAACTGAATAGGAAATTTTCAAAGCAAAGTAATCCAACAGAAATCTAATATGCTTCAAGGACGATAAACGGATGGTGTTCTGAAAGAAAAGGGAAACTCACTTTGTATTCTTTATGACGATTTTTCAATAAATCTAGACCAGAATTAGAAGTTTTTGGATTGATATAATCCAATACAGCTTGACGAATATCAGGTTTTACATCAGCGGCAGTCGGTTTTAAAGTACTTCCTGAACTATTTCCCAAAGCATTATTATTTGAAGGTACCTTTGCCGGTTGTTAATTAAATATATTTTAATTTTAAATAAGAAAATGTAATTTCAGTCAACAAAATTTAAGGTTCAGTAAAAGGGAAATTAAAACAGCACTTATCACAAATCAATAACGAGTTGTGGGACGGATAAAAGCTTAGAAGCATTAAAAACTTGTTTTTAGAATATATGGATTGTGGTTAGCAGTGGAATTTCGGACGAGAATTTCTCCCTATATGGTACTCATATGCAGCATGAATCTGGATCCAAAGTACGAGTTTCAAATAGGACATAACGCAAGACCTGAATCCCACTTCGGGATTCAGTCCTGAATATCAATAATAGGGTAATCCAGACCCTATCTAGTATTAACGTAATCAGCAGCTTTCTTCTTAGTTTAAAACTTCTCAATAATAAGCACCTTTATAACCCCTAACTCACGTAATCGAATCCAAAACTTTTTAGATATTTCACGGACAGAATTTATGTAAATTAATCACTACTTTACGAGTCAAAAATCTTGTGCAGAAACCAATGATACTATCTAGTTTCGTAATAAGCAAAAGTAATTAAAGTAAGTTTTAATTTATAACTATTCATTGGTTTGAGGTTAATGTAGTCGAAAAACAATGATTTAAAGCATCATGAGTTTGTGTAATAATTATCATTATTTTTAACGATTTATAAAAACTTTATCCTCATACCAGTTTTTGTTCTGCACATGTTAAAACTACTACAACTGGTCTTTCACAGAACAGGTCTCAAAACAGACCTACAAGTCCTAACGTCTTCTGGGTTGCATAATTTGTAACCTCTATAATAACGAGTCACATACTTTGATGAATAAAGTATTTGTTCGACCGTTCCCAGAATATTCTAAATCTTATCACCATGTGAATTACTTTACCAGCAAACTTTCCAGACTCTGGTATAATTTGCCATAATCTGTCCGTGAGATAAAGTCACTCTCATTCTTTGTTCGCTGCATCGATGCTTCCCCTGAAAATGCTTTAAATGTACTTACACCTGTAAGTATATTCCATTTCACAAGTGAGATTATGAGAACTTTGGAAGTTTAATCGTTTTTATTATTGAGGTCACTAGTAATATATATATATCCTGAAGTATGATAACAACCTTTGGATTTGTCACTGAACCACTGTTGGATGTATTACTAGTACTTATTTTATGATCATCAAAAATATCTCCTTCGTTGACTTCTAATTCATCCATCTTATTAGCTCTGTTCGATACAGGTGATTTCCCACTTTCCATTGATTTTACTAGTTCAGCAAGTAACAATTCATCGTCGTTATCACAATTTGTTCCGTTCTATCAAAGAACAAGAAGTACATAGAAACAAAATATTAGATTTTCATAATATCTGAACATTTTATCGCCAAGTTATCTGTTATGATGTAACAGCTTTATATTATTTGCCTACAGCGAACGCCCAAACAAGGGCATTCTGAACTGGTATAAAGCCCAACGTTCATGTGTCATTTTGATCCTACTAATTACTTCGTACTGATTCAAATAATTAAGGACAACTTTTATGCACATACATTTTAATATACGTGTGAATCGATTTGGGCTTGTTTGTCTATTGTCCATTCAGCCCATATAAACCGATTAAACAATTCACGCACTGATTAACTGTCAAGTCATTCTACATACCACACGACAATCCCTACACTTACTCTTCCTTGATAGCGGTCTGATCGCCTGAGTTGCATGTCTGAAGTATAATATTTCTAACCACTTTGTATCTTGACTTTTTTGCTGTTATACCGTTGGCAAAAGCTGAAGTGACGGTATTCCAGTCTACTGATTAGACGAAGCTACCCGGAATGACAATGTAGCCACCAATACCGATATTCAGTCTATTTTAAAATAGCTATAGAAACTGTTACCGCCATATGCTTCGCATTACCAATATCTTTTTAGTAGGTTTCCAATCCCAAACAATTTACGTATCATATATTTTGAAACAATCTACGTTTCTTTTTATATGTTGGATCCATATTGTACCAACCTAATTACCCTTGTAAATTAATGCGTATTCTGTAATTTCTGGAATATATGTGTTCAATTAAAATATTTGCTTTCCAAAATAAGTATCAGTGAGATTGCTGTAGATTTCATCAACATTGACTCATAATTATCGCTCATATTTTATGGAAATAGCATTTATTTGGTATTATAGACCGTCGAAGTTGACTTTTACAGAATATTTGGATCGTCAAAGTGAATTCTCGTAAATCAGTTCACCATGAACAATGAACAGCGACAGGGTTTTCTTCTTAAGCTCAATTAATTGAGGATTACAAAACTTATTAGGTCTATAGAAGGATCCTTGTAAAGGTACAGCCATTTCAAATAGATATATTTATAACCTTCTGATATGGCGAACAAGAACCGAACCTGGTAATCACATCTAGACTAAAATCTTGAACTAAAAAACTTATATCATTCTATCACTAATGTGTTAAATGACGTTCAGTCGTTAATTCCGTGGTACGTTGTATACACCAATGTCTGAATGCGATCTATATAATTATTTGACTTATGAATTTTAAATATAACCGAGTATGGTTTGACAACAGCGTTATATTTCTGATGAAACATAAGACACACGACAGAGAAATTTACGAAAACATTGTGAACGTTTCTTCGATGATACCTTCGTCTTCCTCTGTATTTAAATCCTAATAATATGACGCGATTTTATATACCTAATCTATAAGTATCAGTATAGCAACTTTGCCCTTGAAATTATGTATGTATATGTATATGTCAACAGTGAGGAGATTCATTACGAGAGAAAAGCTTTTGTTAAGTGTATAAAGCAATACTCTTTGACATGTAAAACGGTCCTTCACTAAAATTTCTAACAAATAAGAAACGCAACTCGTATTTTGTATATCTACATAAAGCAACAAACTAAAGCATGATAATTACCTTTGAATTCGTCGTCAGACCACTGTTTCTTGGAGAACTCAGCAATGACGATCCAAAATCACTTCCTTCGAACCCCGATGTTTGATGAGGCAGCTTGGAAGTACTACCAGTACTTGTCTTTTGATTGCCGAAAATATCTTCGTTGATTTCTAATTCATCCATCTTATTAGCTCTGTTCGGTACAGGAGATTTCCCACTTTCCATTGATTTTACTAGTTCAGCAAGTAACAATTCATCGTCTTCATCACAGTTTTTTTCATCCTATAAAAGCATAAAAAGTGAATTAAATGTATAATTCTATACGTAAAATAATTGACTTCACATTGTTTAAACATTTTTCAGGCTATTACAGGTAATTTTAAGAGGAAAATAATTTGAACCTTTTGAATAAAGATACAAGCGTAGGTTTACTTGATGTGCTATTGATTTACAGACTTTCAGTCAAGTAAACAGAACTGTAGTAGCTGCCAGTCAGTTACAACGTAGGACTAGGTACATATATGTGTCGGTCCAAGTTGCCACACCTCATTAGCACAAGATGAACACCGGATTCACAGAAGCAGTTAACTCAATGGCGTAGTATATAAAAGAAAGATTTTACATAAGGATATAGTGCAGAAAGAAAGAATTAGTTCGTAGAAAGAAAGATATGAAGTGATTTTAATCTCAGCTTAAAGGAAAATAGTGAGTGCAAACACCTACGTCATTGTCATCAATTCTGAGCTATGTTACCTAGAGTCTCCAACAATTGGTTACGATAGTCACGCGGACCGCAACCAATTAGTCTGCATCTACCAACATGGCTCAGACTAGAAGTCAGTGACTTCAGGGACTGATGCCACGTTTTGGTTTGGCTGTCCCTAACTTTCTTCCAACCATACCCAACATTAGTCAGCATTGCGCGTCGTGGCAATCGGTGTTCCGGCTTTGTTTTAAAAAGGGGGAATATGCACTCAAGATTATGGAGCTTATAAATCTTCTTACTACTATCAACTTCAGATAACAATAATTTTAAACAGCTCGAAGCAATGAACAACTGTGGAAACCGGAAACCGTTTCAAGATTTACACTGGCTACTATCATCTCCAATTTTATGATCAACATACTTTCAGTGTGATGGTGATACACAGGATGTAATGCGAAAACAATAAAACAGTAAATTAGATGTGCTCAGAGCACTAAATTCTACCTATTGGTTTACAAAATCAAAGCAAGCCACACACTTGGATTCAGCTAGTGAGTATCATCTTTTACCCTTACACAGTGTTTGTGAAATGAGAACAAATACATTTTTAGGCTAAAACGTTGTACTAGATCATTTCTAAGATTCGAAATTATAGGAATATTTATCTAATATTCAAGTAAGGAATGTTCTTATGAATTTTAAAACAATTAGTCCCTTTGATAAATTTCGATAATGCAATGAGAAGTTCTTATGAATGTTTTTCAAGTTATTGTACGAAATATGAAGGATATATATAACAGCCATATCTGACGTCTTATGATAGTAGGTCTAACAATCATTCACATATGACTACAGGGATTGTGTTGGATCACTAGGTACAAAAAAGTACTTGTCAGTCATAGAGTAGTCTGGTACATAGTTCGATTTATAAAACTGATCAAAAAATTTAGTAAATAACTATCGCCTAGTTGACCTTACAAATATTCAGTCAGTTAGTCAATCAGTCGCAATGTAAGACCTGGTATGTATGCACATCGGTTCAAGTTGCCATACCGCATTAGCACAAATCGATTAAGTTATCAGGTCAAATCCATGAACAGTACAGGTGGTAACAGTATCAGTGGTAGCGGGAAAGATTAAGCATCGAAGACACGACTCGAGAAAACATAAATTAGTGAAATAGAAAAAATGTTATGCACGATTTGGAATCTCAGAATTCCGGAGAAGACAAAGAATGGATTTACGTTCCCGATTGCATAAGATTTTCGGCCATGTCATTCAAAGTCTCTAACCATTGGTTACTGTAATCAAGCAGACGCCGACCAAGTAGTCTAGATCTATTGGCACGGCTTAGTCCAATTATAAACGCTTTTATAGACTGATGCCATATTTTTGGTTTGACCGCCCATAGCTTTTTTAAACCTACTCCAGCACCAAATAACATCCCCCGTCGAGGTAGATAGTGGTTAGTCATACGTAAAACGTGTCCCAACCACCTCAGTTGATGATGTACTAACTCATCAATCGATTTCCCATCTTTACCTAGTGATCTACTGCTAACCCAGACACTTTACTCAGTGGTCCCAAAATACAAAAGCAAAGACACCTATGATAGAATACCAATAGCCTGTAAACATCGTCTACTCTTAATGGAAATGCTGCACAACCATAAAGTAGAACGGAACAAGCTACTGCATGGTAAAGTCGTCCTTCGGTTGGTAGATGGATATCTCGCCTGCGCCGTAAGTGATGCAAGTTAACGAAAGCCAATTGAGCCTTCCGAATTCGTGCAGAGACTTCGTTAGACACCAGATCATCAATACTGATGAGACTCACAAGACAATTAAAGCGGTCGATGCATTCAATTGCTTCACTCCCCATCATTAATTCAGGCGATGACTCAAGTCAATCTTGAAGTAACACTTTACATTTGGATGGAGAGGACCGCATCCCAAACACGATTGCATTGCTGCTTAAGATGAACAGAAGAGTGCATTTCGTCAGTATCTTCGCCAAACAAAACTATATTATCTGCGTATTCCAAGTCAACGAGTAAATCTCGTGTTAGATCAATCCCTGAAAAGTAATTAATGCCTTTTTCATTTTATTTTGACTGCATACAATGACCATCTTTTTTCTCCGAAGGTCGAAAGTTTAATCCCTTGATCCTCGGGCTGAGGAACATAACCTCTACAATGTTGCCTGCTTTAATCCACCCAAAAATTATCTTAATTCAGTTATGATGAACGTATAATGATGTAATTCACCACATACACAAAGACAAGAATTTTTCAAAAGACTATTTATGTTATTATATTTAACACTATGATAAGGGAAGACAAGAAAGCTAACTTTCGGAGTCATTCACCTTAGGCCGGAATCACATAGGAAAGTTGAGGGGTTTTGGGAGGATCCCACCAGATAATTGTAACCAACGGCTAAATACCAATTTTTAGCTCAAAATACATCGTACCAGCGAAAATGTATTCAACTTTAATGATCACAAACATTATTATCTTATTGTGTGAATTCTACTCCCTCTCATCATCTACATTATTCAACTACTGTTGGCAGCATTACATTAACCGCTTGTTTTAGCTATCTTAGTCTTCTGTGTTGGATGGGGACATTTGCGCCACGTTTTGTCATATATTTATCTTCATGGTTAACTTATAACTTCCCAAGAGGAGGCATTTACTTAAAAGAATTTCGAAAAGAAACTAAAATTATCATAAAAGATATATATGATGGCATAACATTTCTGAGTCTACAAAATCGATTGTTTCAGAGGCTACAGAGAAAATAAAACGATTTACACCTGGTAAAAGTGAAGTTTTTTGTTTGTCTAAACTCTGAATAATTATCTCGACATAAGATAATCAAAATCCAGATGATAAAATGCCTACAAGCATGAACACAATGGCAGTAAAAAATAGTTAGCACTACGAATAAGGAGTTAAGCATCGAATCCCTAGCCTGATGCGACACAGTTAAGAACCTTGAGTTGTAACTTAGTACTCAAGGTCCATATATAAACCTAATCAGTTTCGAGCATATGGTGTTTCGAATGAAGTCAACATCCTAATTATCATAAAACTATCGGTACGTTTTTCCTTTGCATATCCAGATCCCTCACATATTATGAAGCTGTTAACAACTAAAGACGGAGGAGCATTTAAAATACACTTCTTGATAAAAACAGTTCATTTGCTGAACTTCGAGCGATTAAACCAATTGTGTTGTACATAATCCTAGATCACGGTTAAACACTAATTCTACTTACCTGATCAAAAGACGAAGATTTATTAGAAATCTCAAGGGTTGGATCATCATGCAATAAGTCAAGTAATTCCTGTTCAAGATCTTCACCACTGAAGTCGATATCACCAATATTGTCAGGATTGAAAGTAGTGTCCTTTGCCTCAATTTTCTTAGATTTCCACTGCATTACGAAATATGGACTCAAAGAATTTTCCGCCAATTATAAGTAATCTGATTTAACTTATTGCTGAAGGATAGAATGTAAACCACAAAATCTTTTATTGGTTGTTTTAAATGTGAAGAATATGGAAGTAGCACGGTTTCAGTTCAAAGTAATGATCTGCATAACAAATAAGAAAGAATCTTTAAAAACTTTATTTTCAGTAATGAGTATCAACCAGTCACAATACCAAGCAAGCAATGTCTTTTACTTCGAGATCCCTTGTATAATCGGCGTCACGTTCAGAGTATTTCTAGACAAATTTTCAAATATAACAATTGTAGAGAAACGGCAACTATGTGACGTAGCTCTAACATTCACATTACATCGCACAAATCAGTAAAACGTTAGTAACCTAATTATTTCGACAATTTATTGATTGAGGAGAGATAATAATGATATTCAATAAACATGACAATACATATTGTGCACAAGATAACGAAGCAATGAAGTTAATGAGACGTGATGAATTCAAATAATGAAAGTAAGATAACCCGTTTCTGCCATAGCATATCTCACCAACGCCAGTTAAGGCAGTTCACGATTCATAACAATTTAATCACGGGTTTGTGTTCCGTTAATCTTAGTTTACTTTGGACAACTGGGCAGTGTTACTAGCACTCATACAGTCTCACCGTTAAAACAAGCTTCAACTTCGTTAGTCATATAAAAGGGAACCTTCTTATAGTGACTATGGGACAATTAGATGGACGAAAACCCTCTAAAATCTAACGCCCAAACACGTTTGACACCAAATAGATAAGAATAGGAATGTACTGACCAGAACTACAGACGTTAGAATACACGAATACCTGGTGGCCCTGCAAGCTAGTCAATAACTTGTTTGAGTCTGGTATTTGATTATTTTAACAGTCCTATGACAAAGCTCGATTTTAAAAGCGAGTACGGAACAAACGCGCAATAAAATGTTCACGGAATTCTAGTGACAGAAAAATAAATAAGAATTAACAAGAATATCGACTGTTACAATTACTTCCTAACTGTTTAATGGACATATTTGCCATTTCATTTACGAGCTTTCCCGGGACTTTTACTTGAGCCGATATATTGCGATTCATCTCCAGTACTCAGCCTAGTTAGACGAAACAATAACGGACAAATGAAAGATTATTCTCAAGCCTTGACAGTAAATCCAAGAGAAATTAGTATGAATTTCACACCTAAAAATGAGTTAACAACTCTACGACAGATCAACTGCAACATTTCAACGACTATGAGCGAAGTAGCTGAATATGGAAATTCTTTCAGTAAATAGAAGTACATCCGTTATGGTTGGTTTTTAAGCACATAACCTCATTACAAACATGCGGATCTATTGAGGATTAGCTTATAATATTAAATTCTTGGAAATTCCGAAATTATCTAGAGAATTCCAACGCAATATCTAAGATCCGATTATTTACCAGAGTATGAGTACTGAACAGCTGATTAATCTGGGCTACAGCAATACGGGGAGTGAATCTAGAAAATTCTAAGCGACATCTATGATTAAATTAAACAGAAGTTTTGGAACTCTCTTATTCAACCAGTATGGACACGAGGACTGACCTAAAATCTCCAGGTTTCTGAAACCTTGTTAGTAAGATGGCGAGAGTTTAATGGCCAGCTAGTAATGAAATATTTCTGTTGCAATCTCCCTACATGAATTAACAAACACATATCATACGCCTACATTTGCACTTATAACATTGGATGTCATCAAATGTAACGCACATATGAAATTGTGCACTCCAACTCAGCTTAATCTTCATTACCATAAACATTATCGTAATTTTTCTTTGATTGGATAAATATGGTAGTGAGTTTGCCAAAGAACAATAAAACTTCTGAGGTTCGTTACTTACGTGTCATCAGAGATGTATTCGATTACTCTTTTAATGTATTCAGGGATAAGTAACGTGACCTAAACTATGCCACGCGATCAAATTCTTTGGGTAGTTCGAATGCTTCTGGACGTAATGGAAAAAGCCTTCGCTTGACAGGCTTCCATATCTAGCAGCAGTGGAAAATCGAGGCCTAAAAATTGGAACATAGATTTAACGGTAAAATATTAGATTATGTTGAAACTATAGTGTCACGTTCTCTCCTGAAGGACTCATGAAAAGTCGTTCGAGCCACTACTACTGCTCGTAAATAGTAAAAGGTGTGCCTATTGTCCGTTCTGTTATTTTGTAACTCTAATTTCTGGGTAATATCCCTACGGTTTGCATAGAGACTGAGCCTAAGCAGGTGTTTCATGGGATGGCTAGGAGTGTTAAGGATTCTCTAAGTCATTAAGTTTCAGTTTCAGTTTGGAAAGGACAAGAGGCCTGATGGCCTGAGTTAGTCCTGGCAACGGTGGTCTCCCAGTTGATCCAACTTTCTTTTGAAAGAATCGACGGATGGAGCCTCAACCACGTGCTGAGGTAGTGAATTCCACTCGTTGATGATTCGATGGGAAAGTCGATAGTCAGCTGACAAGTAATTTGTTCTCGGCTTGTGAACTTTTTTGGAGTGTCCTCGTAAATTCTCTGTTTTGGAAGACAAGAAAAATGAGGGCATGTTAGGTGCAAATTTATCACTAAGCAATTTGTAGACTGTAATCAAGTCGCCTCTAGTTCTGCGATATGACAACGGGAAAAGGTTCAGCTTGGCCAGTCGAGATTCATACGGAAGCTTCGCTATTCCGGGAATCAGCTTAGTCGCCGTTCTCTGAACCTTTTCCAGAAGCTCACTGTCTTTTTTAAGCAGGGGCTAGCCGCTTGTATGCAGTACTCAAGTTTAGGACGAACGAACACTGTATACAAAGTCAAAAACGTCTTAGTGTCGACATGACTAAAAGCCCTACGTATTGACCATAACGTTCTAAAACTTTGGCGGCTATTGCACGGCAGTGTGCAGTAGTCTTTAAGTCTTGACTAACGATAACTCCTAAGTCATTATATGTCTGGACGACAGGTAGCTCAGTGTTATTCATCGTGTATGTATCTGTGCCTTGATGACCGATATGCATCACAACACACTTGGAAGTATTTATCGGCAACTGCCATGTTTGAGACCATTCAGATAATCTCTTCAGGTCATTTTGAAGTTCTAAGCTATCACTCTTACATCGTATCGTTCTCCATATCTTGACATCGTCAGCATATAGCAAGACCGATGATGATAGGAGACAAGGAAGGTCATTTACATACAAGAGGAATAGCACTGGCCCCAAAACTGTACCCTGGGGCACTCCACTAAGCACAGTTTCCCAGCTAGATAACTTTGAGTTCACCCGTACTCTTTGTTGACGCCCAACTAAGAAGTCTTTTATCCACATCAATAAATTGCCTCCAATCCCGACATTTCTTAACTTATATAACAGCCGGTTGTGCGGAACTTTGTCAAAAGCTTTACTGAAATCAATGAAGGCGACGTCTACAGGTAGCTTTTGGTCCTTAAGAGCAACCAGCTTTCACGAGCCACTAATAAGTTAGTGAGACAAGAGTAACCTATTCTGAAACCGTGCTGCTTCTCCGAAAGGTTCTGGTTTTCATCAAGGTACTTAAACAACTCCTTCTGAATAATCTTTTGTGTGTGTTTCGTACCTGTTTTGAAGACAGGACTTACTATGGCGTTTTTCCAGTCTTTGGGTAAACGACCCTGCGTTACGGATAGGTTAAAGCATATACTTAAAGGGTTCGCAACGAAGTTAGATAATTCCTTCAGTAGCCTAGGATGTAATTCATCGGGCCCCGTGGATTTACCTATGTCAAGCTTATTTAGTAGACCAAAGACATCGAGTTCTTTAATGGTCACGCTATCCAGTGTATGTATGGGGGGATCTGTATACGCTGACGAGAAGGGCGCTTCTATGGTATACACGTTGCTAAAGTAGTTTGAGAACACTTGAGCCTTACCAAAGTCGTCCTCCACTAATGATGAAGCAGTACTGTCTCCCCATAGAGCAGGAATATTTCCTCTTCTTTTGTCCTTTGGTTTATATAGGAATACAAGCGTTTAGGACATTCTATGGATTCCTTAACAACTTCTTCTTCGTACAACTTTCTAGACTTACGGAGGGTCGAGGCACGGGTATTCCAAGCTTTTTGATACTGAGATTTTGTCTCATCAGTCCCCAGTAACCTAAATCTATCCACACTCTTCTTCTCTTACGGAGAAGGATACGGACCTCCCTACTGAACCATGGTGGGGAGTTTCTCGGTCCCCTTGGTATAGTCCAAGGGATATGGGGTGTGGTAACTTTTAAGTATGAATTTCGAAATGCGTCTCAGGCCGTTTCAATGGAGGACTCTGGGTCTATTGTCCAATCTACTAACGATGCTGAGTGCATGATATCTGGTATATTTGCTTTCCAGACGTTAGGTCTGGATTGGGCTGACGCGTGCTCGTGACTGACAGTTATATGGAAGTCGAAAATTAAAACTGCGTGATCACTTTTACCTGGGGTGGCGTATAATGAAGGTTCGCAACGTCATCCACATAGTGAGTGAGTATAAGATCTAGTAAGGATGATTCAGTGTCCGGGTCGTACCTAGTCGCTTCTTTCACATGTTGCACTAAGCGCATATGATAACCGCATCAACTAGTTCCTGCTCGAAGGAATTTTCTGACGATTCAGTTCGCAGATTTTCCCAGTCTACCGTAGGTGCATTAAAGTCCCCTAGGATTAGACATCGACCACTTTGTGACCAAGTATTGAAACTGCTTAGCAGGACTTTATTTACCTCACAGCTTGGACTGCGATAGACCAAACCAATCAGCAGCCCTTGTCCCTTGCATTTCAAGCGGAGACTAACTAATTCACACGTCCCACTCTCATGGATACACTGTCAATAATGGCAAATGGGATAGCCAGTTCTGGGATGTCTGTACTCTAAAGAGTAAGGATCTAGTGACTTGCGGAGTTCTTCATGAGGTCCTCGAACTGGTTTCTTGGCTCGCCTTTGGATATGTTCCAATGTATTCCCATCCTTTAAGAGTTAGGGAATAAACACCACATTTCCATACCCTAGGTAAAGTCAAACAAAACCGGCGAAGATTAAGGAGGGAGCTCTATTTTCGAACCGGCTTAAAATGCACCTCAGCGCTATCAGTGCAAGGTTTGCTCCGAAATGCACTTTGTTCTCAGTTAATGTAAGACATTCGATCATGTAGAATTACGGGTGAAACTTTCGATAATACAGTTTGTGTGTGACGGTTGAGTCGTTTGAAAATACTGTTTTGCCAGAAGTTCGGCGGCATAACTGTCGTTGCAGGGTGAGCCACTGGAAACTAGCATCTGCAAAACCCTGGTATTCACTTGCTGAAGAGAAGGTGCATGACGAAATTAGCCCATCCGATCAGTACCAAGTTCATCAATTAGTCTTCCATGATACTGAGAGATATCTTCTGTTATTACCTTTGTGCATTAGTAACTTGCTTGTTCAAACTGTCTAAATGTGATTTCTTCACAAGTCCGTTCATATTCCAACCATTACTATCTTTTGGATCTTAGCGTTAGAAGACTGAGATTTTGCAAAACTCTACGTTGCTTGTATTGTAACACATGGGATCATGAGCAGCAGGAAATCCCAGAGAGCGTCCACGTTGAAGTGAGGGTGAACTCCTTGGTCCAACTACAGTAAATCATTTTGTTGAGGTAACGTAAAACCCATTTAGAAAGCTTCACCCATAAAAATCCCTCCACACACACCATATAAGGTATTCCCGTTGATTTCTTCAGATATACGTTTTGCTGATCGTTTGATTCTATTTAAGATGGTACAATTTGTATTTTACCTTAGTTCTTAATTTTCTTATGTCTTTGTTTAATTTCCATGTTTTTACTTAACTATATGTTGTTTTTAATGATATATAGTTATGGCGGTTGCCTCACCGATTCAATTCCCTTCTTTATGATGTTGCTTGCTTTGACTGGAATCGTGCATTTCTCATGTTCAATAAAAGCACTCTCCCCGAATCAGGAACACTCCGTGTTGTGACGAATTAAAATATCATATTTCGAAAAGTCTGTATGTAATCTATGCAGAGAAGATAGAATAAAATTTACTGGTTGCAAATGGCAATTCGCTTATACCCTCGATCAATTTAAATATTTAATGTAATTTAGATTCGACTGCTGTTTAAACATTCATTGACTGGGTAACTGGGTAGTGTAGGTATTGGTGCGTATTTAAATTTACAATGAAATTTAGAACCATCATTTAGCAAATTACTTTATTTTGGTTGTCGATGAAACTTGAAGCTATGACGGCGTGACCACTTGTTCTCAGGGAGCCAGAATCAAAAGGTTGCCAATTAAGAATTCCTCGTTTGTCAAAGTATAATCTAAAGTAATAGTGTTTAATAGTATTACCGGCTCTTGTTCAGTGATTTGTGATGCCCATTTCTTTCAGATATTCCTATCGGATAAGTTCTACTAGCAATACTAAGTCCACGTGACTCACCCATTTTGTTCACTAAATTAGTTAAGTTCGTTCATAATACACCTGATGAGTCTCTCCCAATGTTATTCACAGACTACATTTATTAGATCAGTATGATGTCATGAACTAAACAAATGAGGACATATAAGAGCTATATGTGCATTCAAAGAAAAATCGTGCTCCGTCATCTGATCAGCAAGTCAGTTACTGCGGTACACTTTTTTGAATCTGAAATGATTTCTCTTTACATATTTGTCCGCGGTAGGACCTGATCATAGACTGTCAGAAAATCTGAACCTGAATAACACAGGTGCATAATTACTTTAACTGAAATGTATCAAACGTTATGTACAGACACTATCCTTGATTGGATTTATGAATAATAATTCTTACAAATAAGATACCTCGTTTTGAACAAAATAGTGAGTGATTGGGTACAAGTTGTGGTAAAATACAACCTATCACTAACACAAAATGCCTACTGTGAAATTCAGTATCGTATCTAACAACGAACATATATTCCCAATTTATATGAGGAGTATAGAATTCGTTAGGTATCAAACACCAGGTACATTTACTCCCCAACCTGATTGTCTCTATGACGAAATATACAACCGAGCAGATAGAACTAGGATAATTGATACTCAATATGGATCTCCCGTTACATCTAAGACTACTAGAAACTCAGAGTTTTCAGTGCAACTTCTATACCCGATTAATAATGCTCCAACTAAACACTGGTAAATAGAAAACAAAGGTTTGACTATAAGTACGGCACAGTGTAGACGTAGATTAACATATAAAAATGCGACTAACATAGATACTTGAACAGCTTGGGAACACAAGTTATGCAATCCCACTTGTACTAAAAAAACTTATTTGACTAAGTGATAAAAAGTATGTCTTCCACCGAGCAGAAAACGATACTCTGTAGCACAAGGAATATTGACAATCGAACTACGATGTGTTAGTAACGTAAAATGCTGTAAAATATCAAACCCATCACTCATCAGTTCTCTCAGAAAATAGGCTACTGAAATTCTGAACACCAATATTCATTTCTGAAAGACAGGACAACTGATTCCCTTTGGCTGCACTTGAACGCAACTCGATTTCGTAAACATGGCCGTCTGCTTAGCGATCAATCAGAATGAGGCGGGAATGACTATATCCGCCATCTTTGTAAGCAGTGGCGTTTGGCTGTCCTTGTTCTGTGTTTTTTCAGCTTGTTCTTTTGTGTAGCTACATAATTTAATGATTCAGTGTACTTAAACGCCGCAGTTATTTTAATATTCTATCCTGCTACCGATGTTAACGCTGGGTAAAGTGTTTAAAGACAGTGATTTTGAAATATGTTCAGTGCTGGATGTACAGTCTACAAATGAACACCAAACATACTTATCGCTATCTTATCATGTGTGACAGCAACAGCATCAAAGGCAACTTTTTTCACATTTTCAAGCAGACTGATTTGAATCAGTATACTCGTTAAAAAAGGCAGCTCTACTTAATAAACTGATGTTTCGTTACAGGCTCCAAATACTATACCTAAGTATACTATAATTCTAACGACCAAACTGAATTTTACGACAACCAAGAATACTAAACTAAGCAAGTGCCATAATTATTGTTTCATCTGCACAGACATATTACCCAAAGTAGTTAAATGTGTAGCGTGGCGTCGAGTCGAGACTAACTATGAACACCGCTACCAAAAAACACGTGCCGAGTTAATCAGAAGGCGAAGGTTGTACGTAACCAAATAAATCCATAAAATCCACGAGAAGCCAAATATCGGAAGGCAGTCAATGGACCAAGTCGAGATATATTTGCTGGCGATCTCGTGGCATCGAAAGGATACCGAGATCGTGCCATGATACAAGCTTGGTTACAGAACGTAACCAAATTCGTGCGAAGTCACAATCAAAGTGTGAGTATAAGAATGGAAGCACAATATAGCTGACATTAGCACAGTCAAACAAAAGCACATTAAAACAAACACTGGTACAGTTGGTTATAATGATAATTGTTTTTATTAAAGCAGTCGTGTTCTCGTGATAAATGTGAGTCATTACAAATGTACATAATTCAGCCGATAAACCCAAAACACGAACTATATGCCAGTCAAGCTAACCTAACAGAAGACAAATGATATTGTTTTGAGACTGAAGACAACAGTCAATTGCTCGCGAAACATAGTTTACTGCACAACAAACCTTTCTTCAGTAACATTATTTACTGACGATCTATGTGAAGAAAATTAACGACGCGGTTAAACTTACTAGGACTTTGGATATCATTCCAGCATGCAATGAACGTATAGTGTAACGCAGTCGAACGTGGCGAATAAAAATTACAACCAGAGCAAAATTCACAACATAATCTAGTCATTTAATAAAAAATACATTATAAAATGACAAATCCCATGATCACATGAACGTAGACATTACCGTTATTACACTGGGTGATACATTAGGTTTACATGGAAACGTTGCGGATAAATCCACACTTCACTTTCTATAGCGATACTCAAAAACAGTAAAAATAACAACCTTTAAAGTGCAGTGAGCGAATAAACAAAATTGAAGCAACTAATGAGAAACTACATAATACTAAGGATGCCACAGACATTCGGCGTTTGGTAGTAACTTCCCTCGTAAAATATTTTTAATCGGACGTCAGGCCAATCAAAAGTCAAAAATCATGGAGTCTAGAGATATCTTTTACAGGTTATCGATGTATCTAGAAGCGTCTTATTCAGGCTCACTAATATTTGCAAGTGATGTACAACACAGAGTATGCACTCGTGATCTGTTGTGGATATGTGATCGAGTACCTTCAGCTGGGATCTCTCCAGTAAAACTATTGATTCTGGGTATTTAGTCATCGCCACAATACCAACGGATGAACATGAGATCCAAAATCGTTCGAAAAGTTTATGATTCTAATTCCATACGATTAGATTTGGAAATATGAAGGTCGAACATGCTAATTCAACGCTTGAGTGGAAACGTCAACTCATAAGACGTAGTGTAAGGTGATTTCCACACATACTGGGACAAAAACACACATGAAACATCTTATATTTTCAGTATTTTGAAGTGAATTCATAATCAGGAATTTTCCCACTTTAACGTTTGTCGAAAACATACGCATATATTTTGTAGTGTATATCAGAAACGCATCGACCTTAAAGATGCTACAAGTATTCTGAGTTTGACAACACGTTAACCATTAACACCTTTACAGTCGAAGTGTACAAACCCAGTCAAATCAGAAAGGAAGAAGTTCGAAGATATATTTGATAGGCTATCGATATATCGAGGAGTTACTAATCTAAGATGGCTAGCGGTTGTAGGAGATATGAAGCACGTCGTACACACTCGTGATATGGTGCAGATGCATGACAGGGTGCCTTCACTAGGTGGGTCCATTACAACTAATGCCGTCAGCACCGAATGCCGAAGACCAACAGAACTATCGATTTTAGAGATTATTTGTCGCTACAACCTTGAGACGATTATTATTATTACCTCTTATGAGCATATAGCTTAATAACCCTGAAGTTATATCAGAGTTCTTTATTAACCGAGATCCAGTCGCACAAACGGCAAGTGGTTCTAATTTACTCACTACTACCCTTGAACGAAAAACGAGTTTTTCTTATTGTAGAATTTTACTTTCCAGAGAGAAAACGTGGATTTTGTGCTGGTCAACTTATAAAACCATATTGTGTTTATCCATTCTTTTATTGGACAAGATCGTGAAGTAACCAGGAAACATTCATAGCGGCAAAGAAACCCCAAAAATAAACAGCCCTGAGAGTCTTCGACATTAATGATGATTCTATTGCTACTTTCCATCGAAATATCGGCTGGCGAACCATACAAAAAATATTAGGTGTCTTGAACATAGAACGCCAATAAGGAATCAATAGGCATCTGAATAATTTTAACTAGTGTACAACATGTCGTTGAAGCATCCTTCGGTGTACTAGCCTGAGTTGTTGGAAAACACATTCAAAAGAACCCGGGAACAATAGAAAATTAATAAACGCCTTTTTGAAAAAAAGAATGCTAGTTATTTAACTGTGTAATAATATTACAAGAGAAATGAGATACAATCAATTGAAATAAGACAAGTGACGTAACAAAGGACTAAAATGCATAAAAGAAAACAAAAAAACAAAGGCATAAAAACAAAGATGAAAACATAATAAATATCGTAAAATGTCATGGTCAGGTGAATATTGCACATTTATAGTAAGAACAAATGCCGTCATGGTTTTTCGAAAATGAGGATGAGTCTATGGTTGGTTGTGGAGAAAGAGTTCAAATTTGAAGTCAGACAAATAATTTAAACGTTGATGCAAGACACCGTGTAACTGAAATTCATCATTGTCTAGTAAAACAAATGGAGAGAATAAAATTTAGGGATAACAATAAAGATTAACATGCTGAAAATTCAATTCAACAAATAAACGCAGGCTAATTTGTTCAAACGTCTAAAGAAATTAGCTTTCTATATAAATCCCAAGTCATCAACAAAATTTACTCAATGAGTAACAAACTGAGTCTTATAAATTCATACCCTCTTCATCTTAGTTTTAATAGACGCTGTTACAGAATCTGACGGATTTTAATGAGAATTCTAAAAGTGTACTTTTAGAGGTAATCAATTTGTCATTTGTTTGGCAAAGCTACAAGACTCCCTAGATTGAAGTAAATGAAAAAGTTCTGCACCTGATCTAGAGAGTTTTAATTGAAAGGTTAAATAGCTAATCCATACATTGGAATAAACTAACATTAGAACATCTGATTTCAATTGTATCTTCCAGACATGTACGTGAAATAAAATTCGCTTTGCAACATATATCATACGACCCTCAGTTAATACATAACAACAGATATAAATCATTACATGTTCTTAATAAGCTAATTTTAGCTGCTGAAATAGTGTTAAGAAGAAAAAAATATCAAATTAAAGAAAGACTGGTAGCCTTTAGAGATACTTTAGGATTAGAAAGAGACGTTTTTTTATAAAGAATCCAAGATATAATTAAAAGTACAGTTACATTCTGACCAATGGTTGGAGACTCTTGGTGACATGGCTCAGAATCGATCACAATGGCGTCGGTGTATACACTCTTTGTCTTCCCTTAAAATAAGAGATTAAAATCACTTCATATCTTTCTTTTTACAAACCAATTCTTTCTTCTTGTACTATATTTCTATATGCAATCTTCCTCTTATTTATTACCACCTTTGCCCTAACCACTGCTATGAATCCGGTGTTCATCTTGTTGTGCTGATGCGGTATGGCAACCTGGACCGATGCACATATGTGCCTGGTCCTACGTTGTAGCTGACTGACTGACTGACATTCTGACCAGCAAATTTCTGACCAACTACATGGCAGAGTGTGGAGTAATCTTAAAAATATGACGAATTTATTTTAATCGACATGGAAATAGAGTTACGATAAGTAATTCGACATACGAGAAAAAAGCAAGTTAGACAAAACAATGAAATAAATAACTATATAAATAAACAACTTACCATTCTTACTAACTAACAAATCGACTACAGCCAAAAGAACAGTAAACTTTTGACCATTAAATAACTTTAAATCAGATACCATAGGAAATGGACATAATTTATGGTTAACTGTAATCGGACAAGTAAGCTGTTTTGACGGTAAAATTTGAACTAGAAGTGTAAGAACGATAGGTGTATTGTGTAGCTGATCATTTTTATCAGAAAAAGTATCGTCTATAAGGCCATAATCACAGGACCCTTCAGTATTCTGTACGTGATTGGTACTTAGATTAGATATATCCCCACTGGTATTAATTTCAGGTTTGGAATCATCATTAATGAGGAGTAGGTAGACAGCTGTAAAGGTGGAATGGCATAACTGACTATCATTTAACAGATTTGGATGAAGACCGGATAAAGGAAATAAGACAATATTCATTTCATCACTGATTTTAAGTTGGTCTCCAACACAGAAAAGTGGGACTAACTGAAAAAATAAAAATATTAAAAGTTTTAAATATTGTTATATCTATAGTTAAGGTATGGAAGAATTTTTTAAAATCTATTAGTACTCTATAAAATACTAAGGAATGTATTTTTCGTTGGAAACCAACATTATGGGGAAATACCTGTATGTTAATCAGTCGTCAAGTGATGTGTCAGTATTTGGGATTTATATATGTCAATGGTTACTCTTGGGTACTTTTGAGGACCAGAAAGCACTAAACGGTTATGATATCCTAGTATGAGATACCTTATCGGCCACCTTACCTTACCACAGATCAAACTCGAAACTAGATGAGAGGGTTAACACTCACTGATATGAAATCTCAGCTTTAATCAACTAGCTGCCTAACACGAGGGTCATCCAGTGCACCGGTAATACCTGTCCGGTTCGGATACATTAAACAATTTTTTCAAATCACTGTTTCCAACTGAAAAACTAGAGATAATAATTAAATAAAAGCGACTCAGTAAGTATGCATCAAATGTGATAACTGATTGCACACTTCTTAAGTAATTTTAATAATTAGTACTGTGTGTGTTTGCATACATTTTATCTCCCTCTCTCCCTCTCTATATTGAGATATTTGTTCAAAGTGTGTGTTATGACTTTACGTTGTGAGACTGCAGGTTTGATAAGCAGCGTATTTATTGATCGATCGCAGTACAGTGACACGGAAAACACGTACGGACGGCCTAGAGTCTCTATTGGTCCCGCTTCCCTGTCTAGCCCAGTTAGTTGAGTCCAGAACACAAGTCACAACCTCTGAGATATGAATCACTATATTTCAAACATACTTTGTTTATATACTAGTCAAGCATACCACAGCGTACCATAAAAATAGTAAACAACATTTACGCAATATGTAACGAATGAATTAAATAATAGCCAATAGGGAATGTACATTTAAAGTCCAAGGACACCACTGGACTTAACATGATAATTATTGGTCTATTCTCCCGCATCCACAACAGTGTGATTATTCTTATCACAATTAGTATACTTAATATCATAAAATCTGTGTATAACTTTTTACTTTTTATGTTTAGTTGAATAATTTATTTCAATATTACCGTTAACTGATAAACTGCCATTATTGGTTTAATAATATTTATATATTCATATGCCAATGTTACTGTATATTAAACCAAAGCCTAATGAAGATCTAACTGAAGACAACATATTTTACTGATATGTTTTTCTAATCATATACTCTATGTGTACTTTTCATGAAAACATAGTCATTATTATTATGATCATTCATTATTAATAGTATTATTATTTATTCATTTTTCAGCCGCATACATTCTTTTTCATTTTCAAGTACGATATTAACATAATGGTCAAAATATAAATTTAAGATGAAAACTTGTTGTTCTTATCTATTCTAAAAGTAACAGTATCACATGTTGTTTTACTGATATAATTATGATTGATGATTTATGGTACGATCATATGAAATTATTTACATTAATTTATATTTGAAAAATAACAGATTTTTCTATTGTATTTAACAATATAACTATACTTTACACTTGAACACTTGTTTATTTCCATGAAACACGATAACTTTATCATTAATTTTAATAGAAAATCTTTCAATATTAATTTTTATTAATATTAGTTTATGAATTATTTTCACTGGAGTTATAATAAATTCATTTTCTTGAAATAAAGTTTAAGAGAAAAACATAATCTAGGTCACTTTAACATTTTACAGTGAAGGGTATTAAAACCAATCTCAAACAAATTTCCACTGTTCACTAGTTTACAATAACTTAATAACACCATTATAAAGTTGTGGAGACTGTTGAGCTTAAGATTATGAACCGATATTGATAATAATCATGTGCTTACTAGTAACTAGTTACGAGAGGTGATTCTCGGAGTTCTAGTGAGAATCCGTGACTAGTGGGGTTCAACCGAGTCTGTTGCGAGATAGTAACTCACTGATGACAATGGTAGCGTAACTTTGTGAATTGGTTGAATCTGGACATTCAAACCGTTGGATGCCGGCTCAATGGTCTAGTGGTTAGGCGTTCGCGCGCGAGACTGATAGGTCCTGAGTCCGAGTCTCGTGAGGTGAGATCGTGGATGCACACAGCCGAGGAGCCCCATACTCGTGCGAAACGGCCGTCCAATGCCTCCAGGTTTTTAACGATGGTCTAAAACTGATCGATTTATGGTCCCAATTAGAATCCAATATCAGCTAATGTGATATATATAAAGTTACTTATAATGCGAATCAGCAGGTAAAAATGATATCTACAAATTAGGCACTTCTTCCGACACTATCAATTAAAAGACTGAGAAAGGATGGAAATCGAAAACTAATTAAAACTTTCTTTCTCTAAATAAAGTGAAAACACGGGCCAATTGATTAAATAGAAAGCATTTATGCAGAATACTCACCTTTTGACTAGTTTGAAGACATTTATGGGTAACTATTGCACTGTCTTTTTCATTTCTCGGTGTTGAGGTTGACGGATTTATACACTTCATTTGATAATTAGTTTGGATGAATGTATCATCACATTTAACTAGTTCAACTTCAGCTTGACATGTTAAATTACAAGTTGTCAAGTCAAACGCTGAATCACATGGGATAACATCAACAAAATTTGAATGTTTACTCGCATTTCCATTGAATAAATTCCAGAAACAGTTTAAATCAGAAGTAATAGCATGCACAAAAGCTGGAAAATCAGTGTAAGCAAGTAAATGCCACGGCCATGAAGAAGGTGAACTATATGAAAAAAGAAAACAAAATTCATTCGGTTTACGTTAATAATAAAGGTCCTGAATAGAAACGAGAATGACTAAGTGAAATCTTTTACTAACAGATATGTTGATTAGATTAAGAGTAAACGGAAGTCAATAACTAAAAACTCTCATTTTCTTGAACTTAAGTTAAAGTTTACACGATGCCTACTGATACTACGTCACGATTGTTCAAAACAAAGCATGTGGAGTAAGGTCCGAGCCGGTTAATCAAACACTAAAATATTGACTAATAATATGAAAATCTATATAGAATTTTGAAAAATATATCTAAGAGGCAATTATTAAAATACCTATTGACTAGAAATTAATCATCAATTCATATGAAATTCATTCTGGTTTGACAGTAAACACCATACACACTGAACATCAATATTCATTATTATGATAAGAATAAGTAAGAATACCTTTGAGTTCTCACACAAACCAATAATATACGTAAATTTCTTAAAGGTAGCGACATTTAAGTGGAAACTTTGGAAAATATAAAACGAGAATTGGTAATCTCGTGAAAATTTATAAATTAACACCAGTTAAAAATAGGCTTTGTCAACAACTAATAACAATTGAACAAGATGTAATTATCTTATAGCTTGAGTAATTCACTTAACAACGCTATATAGATTTGAATTAAAGAATTTGACTTTGAATCACATCGGAAACAACAATGATTAACATATATGTTGTCATATCGAAGAGGATTTGGGCGAAGTTAAACTTTCAGACGGATTCTTAAATTATTGTGGTCTAATATTCTCCTATTTGTAAGCTTTCGTTTGATTGATAGACTGTTGTCACGTGTTCTACTATATCGGACTAATCGTTATTTAATTATTCTCATATGTTTCCGTTTTTCATCCTTTACGACTGATTTGTATAAGCATTGGAATTTCATATTTGTGTTACGGTGAAGTCAAATATTTAACCTATATTATCATACAAGCTTCAGGTTACGGATGAACAGAGTGCAATAAAAAAGACTTCTGCTTTTTGATTGGATACTAGGTTCCAAAAAACTTGTGGATCAACAGATGTTAAGGTCTCGGTTATTGTTTGTTGATCCTTGTGTCATTGTCGAAATAGGTCACTGGTCCTACAGGTAACATAGGCGAGAATACTGATAATAAAGCTAGACGAAACAACTGCTCTCATAATAACAGCCTAGTTACACAGGCTTCAAACTATCCCAGTAATCTGAAGTTCCTATTAGAGAAATGACATATGTAAATGAAACGGATACTCTTAAAAACAGGACAAAACGCGAGTGTTCAATTTCAAATAGTTAGCCAACTATTTAAACCGACTTTTTTTTCAATTTAGTAATCTATTAGATATTTCATAAATACTTTTGTAAATAACAGCAAATCCTAAAAAGGGAACAATAACAGACTACATATGTTGGGGAAATCAAATCAATTTAAGAGTCACTTTAATAGTTGACCTGAGGAACCCATAAAATAATTAGCTTGAGGAAAATATTTGTCAGTCAGTCATTCAGCTACAACGTAAGGCCAGGAACATATATGCATCGGTCCAAGTTATCATACCTCATTAACACAACAAGATGAACACCAAATTCATAGTAGTTACTTCAATGGTAGTAATATATAAAAAAGACTGCATATAAGGATATGATACAGGGAGAAATAATTAGTTCGTACAAAGAAAGGCATTGAGCAATTTTAATATCACAGGTAACAGGAACACAGAAAGTATGTACACCTATGACGCCATTGTGATCGATTCTGAGCCATGTCACCCACAGTCTCCAACCATTGGTTACGATAGTCACGCGGACCACAACCAAGTCGTATCCATCTACAAACATGGCTCAGACCAGAAGTTGGTGACTCCAAGAACTGATGCCCCATTTCGGTTTGGCCGACCCTAACTTTCTTCCGACCATCTCCAACACCGGTTAGCATTGCACGTCGTGGTAATCGGTGTTCAGGCATACGCAACACGTGGCCCAACCATCTCAGTCGATGAAGATTCACAACCTCATCAACTGATTCACCATCAGTCCCTAGTACGCTGTGTCTAACCTCACTATTACTTACCCAGTGATCCCAGCAATATTTCTAAGGCATCTGTGGTCAAATACTAGTAACTTAAGAGTATCCTCTACCCTTAATGGTCACGCTTCGCAGCCGTAAAGTAGAACGGAAAGAACTGCTGCGCATTATACTCGTCCTTTAATTGATAAACGGATACCTCGCCTTCGCCACAGGTGACGTAAGTTGGCAAGAGTCAAACGAGCTTTTTGAATCTATGCTGAGATTTTGTCAGACATCAACCCATAATGGCTGATCAGACTTCAAAGTAAGGTTGTCGACGCGTTCGACTACTTCAAATACTGCCTTCAGGTCAAGAAAGACCACCATTGTCTTGTCCTGAAGTCTGACGAATGGTGAATATGTCGTCGATGCAGCTACGACGAGGTCTGAATTTCTCATGTTTGCAGTTCACTAGTCTTTGTTAGGCGACCGGTAATTATTTGAGGCTAGAATTTTAGATGATATGTTAGTCAAACTAATCCACCTATGGCTATCTCAGGATGATTTTGACCCCTTTTTATATATTGGGACAATTAGTGATTGTGACCAGTCAGATGGAATTACGTCTAACTCCCAGAATTTAGCTAAAATATTAATTAACCTAGTCGCTGAAACTGGACCACCATTCTTAAAGACATCTGGAGTTAATCCATATGGGCCAGCCGCTCTTCTTCGTCTCAGATTAGCTATAGCCTTTTGGACTTCAGTTAGAGTCTTAAGACTTACTTCAATGTTCCATTCAGGTCGTTTGGGAATGGTGGGTAGTTTTAGAGTAACTGAAGGCCAACTGAACTGCCCCTTAAAGTGCTCCTCCTATCGTTCGAAACGTCTGGGCTGAGAACAGATAAGTGTCGTTTTCTTTCGAGACAGTCTCGCTTACCATTGACTTTTTAATTCCAGTTTCTTCTATTAGTCTGAAAAGCTGTCTGGTGCTAAATACAGCCGCCGCCTTTTCCATCTCTTTTGCTTTCGTTGCTTATCACCGCTCACGGTCGTTCCTTATACTTTTTTTCAGAGCCTGATGGGGTGAGTTTACGAGAATCCATCAGTGAAATAGACTTAGAAGATATCCAATGTTTTTTGTAACCCTGTGGTTTAAATCACTAACACATGTCACTGCTGTTTGTATATCTTTCCATTTTTATTTATTTATTTTAACACATAGATATTGGTACAAGGAGGCACCAAATATATATGCGCCACACAAATTTCATTCGATATGTGTGAGGGCTGTGATACTGCCCGGGTGCCCAAACCGAAGCAGGTGGTTTTCTTAGGAGGCCACTCCCCGAGCCTTCGACCTGAAGGTCTGATCCACAAGGCAGTGGAGCATCGTGAGGAGATGCAGTCCCATGGAAGCCGGTGACCAACAATTGGTTCATACGCCATTTGTTCCCGCAGGATACTGGAGCCCATGTGCACCATTGGTTTGGAATCCGGTTAAAGCGCCGGACATTCGCTTTTCGTCCTCTCATTTTCGTAAACAACATCCCCGCCACGAGAAGGCAGTGAGTAGGACTTCCCTGGCAGAGGCTATTTACGCATGGCCATGTGAGAGCATTTCGAGAGGGAGAGCGGACTCTCCCCACTCTCGACCGTACCAGGGCATTTGGGGGCCAAGCAACATGTGGATCAGCCTCGTTTTCAGAACTGCCTAAGTCTGACCTCAGTTGTTCCTGGAATCTACTATTGGCTTTGTCGTCACTGAGTTAAACTCGAATGAGTCTTCATAGTGTGGCTTTTCTGCATCCAGTGAGGCGCAAGCAGATGCGTGCTCGTATTAAAGCATGATCGGAGTCCAAGCAGGTATTCCAGAACGAGCGACAATCTTCTGTCGAGCCTTTCCAACAATGACTGATGGCAATATGGGCTATTTGAGTCCATCGTTGGTTTGGTGCAGAGGGTCGCCATGTTAGACAATATCTCTCCTTATGCTGAAAATTGGTGTTTGCTAAAAATGAACGCTTGCCTGAGAACAGTTGCAGCAGGCGATCACCATTATCTGTTCGCTGAACCGTAATTTTAAAATACACATCTAAATGTCTTTCAGCTTAGTTTATGCTACTTACCTGTGCATTAAAGTCACCTGATACGAGTACTATGTCTGAGTGTTTAGCTTTCTGAAGAAGTTCAGAAAGCTTTCTGTAAAAGTCATCTTTCACTTTATCCGCGCTGCAGTCAGTGGGAGCGTAGGCAGAAACGACGAAAAGGCAACGACATGTGCCGAACAACACATAGGCGACTGTCAATAGGGAACCATTCTAAAAGTGCTTGCCTTGCACTCATACTTAGTGCTATGACTAAAGCTGTCAGCCCACGAGAACTTGACGTCGGGTCACTAAGTAAACGGAGGGTATATCTTTTCGGCTCCCCGTCTTGGTTTCGTGAGTTTAAGTGAATGACCACACTAGGATCCTGCATGCGTGTTTCGGAGACACAGTGTACATCAATGGTACGAGATACCAGGGTGTTGGCTAAGGAGGTCTGCTGGCCGTACAGTCGAGGCTGCAATGTGTAGTTCGGAGCAAGATTTCAGTAGACCTGAGATAGTATTTCGCATACTAGAATCGTTGGCCATGGTGAAACGTGAATCGATGAAGTTGGTAGTCAAGGTGCGGGGGTAATAGGAGTTAAAGAGGGAAACTGACTATTATTAGTGATCTTGAGTGCTGTTAGAGGTATGAGGGCAGTTACTACTTCCCAATTGCCCACACTGTGAAAGGGTTCTTCTAGAGATACCTGAAAAGGAAATTGGGTTAGAGGTGGTTTTGGTGACATGAGAGCGTGACCACAGTACTCGAGGGACAACTGCTTGAGGCCGGTCACACACGACTTTGCTGTGAGTAATTTTCGTGTTAGCTCCGTATGTTTTAAGACTTTACCGCTGGAGACGAATATCCGTGGGATAAGGTGAGATATGCATTCTTAGGGTTGACTTTTTCTAACCCACCCTTCTTTGTGGGAAGCCACCATCACTGTTATGTTTGCTGCTTTTAGTCTTACTGTTCTTAAAGCGACTTCTCTGGCATGGTAGGACCTTGAGGAACGATTGCTCCAGCCAGTGTAGCTCGATTAGCTCATCACTACAGACAAGTCCGATCACCACGTCAAGGTAGCAGCGACGGTAGAATATTTGGGAAAGAGATAACTTCAAAAAGCTTTGTTTGATAATAGATTAAACATAAATAGAATTACCAAGGGAAACTGGTACTGATACTTAAAACATGAACAGGCAATGTAGAAAGAAAACCATGAATCCGACCAACATCAATGAAACTTGAAGCGGAATGTGATTTATGATCATTAGAGTTTGATCCAGATGATTCAAATTGTGAGGTAGAAATCAAATTAAATTCTATTGTTTGTGCATGATGAGTTGGCGTTACGATTGAAGTTGTCGCCAAACTATGCGCAGATAAATTTGAATGATGGCTTCTAGGTAATGTACTGTATTCTTCTGGATTGATTTCACCGAATAAACTATCATTACGAATAAGTAGAGAAAAAGAATCGTCTGACTCGTCAACACTTAATTCAGCTGCTTCCGCCTCAAACAATTCAGAATCTTCGAATACAAGAGCGACCAAATTAATTGTCTCAGTATCAGGTGATAAACAATCCCGTTTTGACCACCGAAAGTTCTTGGAGCCATTCCTTACTAAAAACAACCACCGCGAAAACGAGTTATTATGAGTTATTTCAAGAAAAAAAACAAACAGAAAATGGCAATATGGAAATTATTCGGAATGCCGAACAACATATTATAGCAAAAAAGGGGGCATAAAATACGGTAGATAAATAACTATATTTAATGGTTATTTATCGGTGCATTGACTTACCCGATAACAATTTACTGTAGAGTATAACTGAAGGAGTATTAAAAAAAAACGATCTGAATCGATCAATATGACTATAGAGTACCTAATTTTATATTTTCTAATTTGTAGTGTTGACTGAGCGCTATCAACTAAAATACTGATACATCCAGTAGATCCGTCCCCGATACTAAATAGGAAGACTTAGCTAACGTGGATTTTGATAAGGTAAGAGTTGAAGGTATGTGAAAATCCGATAAGCCGTAAATCACATACATTAAGGCTACAGCAAGAGACAGATGCGGTATTCCAACTAGCCGGTTTTATTTTAAAAAAGATTAGATGGTACAGCATACGGTTATGGTTCGAGTACCTGTGAACGAGTATGTACCTCTCGATTTTATGCATATAAACAAAGAATATTACGTGAAAGTATTCTTAGTTCATATCCCGCATGGATCTTAGTTAGACAACTATTGAAAAACCATGAGGCAGCTGTTTTGTTTTGAAACGAAACCTCTCAGTCGTGAATGTTCACGACCCCACTGCAGACCAAAACCCAAATCCTTAAGGTCTCACGGGGGAAGCTCAAATTAGACATGTAAGCTTCCTTAGTGGTCTGAAGGTTGAGCACTCGCTGTGTGATCTGAAGATCCTGAGTTCGATACCAAAAGATTGTGGATGAGCACCACTTAGGTCTCATATTGAAATAAAGCAGGTATTCAGTGCTTCCAGGTTTTTCAATGGCTGTAAGAATGGTGTAAGAATTGAAATTCAACAATCTTCACAAATCCCCTAAAGTAATTTGAAAGCACTCTTGATACATCCAAAAAATTAATTAAAATCTAACTGGGTTTATCAAGTGAAAACAATATGTTACCTGTTCGAAAAGACACAAATTCAGATAGAAATAAAAAACAATATATATTCATAGAAATAAAATTTTGGGAAAAAACAGAACTCATATTATTATTAGACATTTTAATTCGAAAAGTAATGTAGTACAACGATAATGCTTTTTGTAATATCAATTTTAATATCCATGTAAGAGTGTGGAAATGTGAAGAGGTACATATACATAAATGATACCGTCAAGTTTAATTGAACAGCATAAAGCATGATTTATTTAGAAGAAACAAAGGAAATAAGTAGATAAGTAATCCCACATCAAACTCTTTTTTATTCATCCTGTTACATATGACTGTGAATTCTCACAAGTAAACTAGTCAACTCTTCAAACACCTTTATAAGTAGAACTAATTCCAAGATTGATTTGTTCTTTAGTACAATGAAATACAGCACTAAGTAATCGAATAAAACCTGTATCCATAGGTTTATCCAAACCGCGTAAGAGTCTATGTCGCATAACACCAACAAATTCACGATAACTTAATTGTCCATCATCTAAAATATTAACGAAAATAACAGAAAAATAGACGAAAAACTGTAGAATAAAGGAAAATATTTCGCAATCGAATGGACGTTATTCAAACAGATTTAAAAATGATGAAGATTCGCACAAGAATTTCTCAACCTTTTGGAACTAATATTGCTCTATCGTTAATTCACTCCCATTTTATACAGAAAAAAAGACACAACAATGAAAGAAAACAAATGTAAGATAAGTAACAGAATAAATTGAATCAATTGTGATAAATATTATATTGGACAAAGTGGATGCCTTTTTCAGTTACCCATACACAAACATAAACTATCAGTAAAACTATATGACATATTACCACTGATATCAATGCATAGAAATAACTATAGACAAAAATATGAATAGCAAAACGTGAAGATCATAGACTGAGGAAACTCTAATAATGCCAAAGAATTTCTGGAAGCATAGCATTCAACTCATTGAGTAATCAACAGAAAAAATAGCTTAAACCCAGCCTATTAGCCTGTTTGACAAAGGTTAGTCGGGAACATGATTACAGGTCAACAGCACAAGAAAGTCAACCTAAGTACAATTCTAGTGAACGAAAACACGAGTGGAGACAATCGAATGCATTAGACCACAAAATTACAGAGCATCTCACTAAAATCGGAGAACCATATAGTAAATAGTTAATTTGCAAAATATCAATCTTTCGTCTCAAACTTGACTGTTCCTTTTGCAAACATCAGTCCATTGTCTCCGATTCCATTGTTCATGCATTTTCATACCAATTGCGTTCTGTTTCCATTCTTTCCTTATCGATCTTCTGCTGAAATACATTCCATGCCTGACCACCGTTATATACTACTTATGTGGATATAAGTAACCCACATCATATAAGGATAAATGAAGGTAATGAAATTTATGAAGACAATCAATCATAAACAAGCGCACTAAAACAAACTGATTTAGGACCTATGAAATAAGTAAGAAGCTTACTTCTAAATAGAGTAAACAATGGTGATATTGTTTAGAACAATAAGAAATTTGCAATTAAACCATTTAGCTCAAAGAACTCGACAACATCAAAAGACTAAAAAATTAAGGCAGTCTTTGAAAATCGGAGTTACATGGGAAATGTAGATAGGTAAGGACGGTCCACTTCCATTACGTCTAGAATATAAAAACTCTGGAAAAATCATACTTCATTAATCGATATACGGTTATATTTACATCCACAAACTACTGATCTTAATTTGAATAAGCATATTATCTTGTTACTATTAAAAAAAACCTATGTATTGTTTAGAGATCTAATAAACAAACTACTTAAATAGATATTTGACAAAATGTACAAGAAATTCACTGACTTACTATTCTCATCGAATAAAGTGAACACAACATCTAAAACATGTGGTGACAAGTGAAGATTGGCGACAGTCGAAGCAACATGGTTTAAAGTATCTTGATTAATTGATGCCCCAGCCATATGATAAAATGTTAAAGCAGTATCCACATCAGCAATAGATCGAAGTAAATGACTGAAATCAGAAAAATCTTTATACGTGATACCCTGAAACATATATATACATGAAAAAAAGGGAGGATTAAGATTTTTGGTAAGAAAAAACATTCTATTTGTAAGTGTGGTGTGAAAAATAAAGTCTACATTAAACAGACTAAGAATAATTAATTGTAAACAAAAAAACAACTCGTTATAAGTAATGTAGTAGAACAAATGAACTGTTTATTAAGATTTACAAACTACTAATTAACATAAAATGGATGAATTACAGATATTATAAAATTATTATCTATCTATACGTGGTAAAATTGACAGAATATTCAACATACTTATAATCGAATAGTAGTATATACTAAGGAATGTATGCGAACGATTAATAATCGATAAACCATTTCAGTTTTAACTGTAGTTGTAAAGTTACTATTGTGAGAGAATTACGTTTAAGCTAACAAAAAACCCAATTTCAATGATTAGTGCAGACATGGGAACAGTTAGGAAACTATGGAGTTCTTTACTAGCTACTTAGAATAATCTCATGGTTATTACTATGAATAAATGGCTTCATTTTGTATGCATGTATATGTGTAATCGTTAATGATACTGATCAACTATCAAGATAAGAGTAAATAGATTAGATTTTAAAACCAACTTAGCGATTGTAAGTGCAGTAACAGCCGAACAGTAAATACAGTTTAATCCTAACAATGATGAGCTGAAAACTTAATAACATTAAAATATTTAACTGATGGAAATTGAATGATGTGAATTCAAGAATTCATAAGGTTGTAAATGCACATATTTCATGAAAGCCTACAACAGTGCATAATAAATAAGGCTTAAAACATTTAGTACTCCAATATCTTAGATAATAAATTTTAAACATAGAGATACTTGGATTGTACGGAAAAATTATCCAAAAAAAATATTTCTCTAAATTAAAATATATCAAAGTAACTTTGATATTCTTTTTACAGGAAAGAAATTTCAAACAATAATTACACTACGAAGTTGCGCCATCGAACACCAATGTCTTCAGTGAGCTGATATCTCACAACAGACCTGGTTGAACTCCACTGATGACGGCTTCTCACTAGAACTCCAGGAGGTTCTCCTGAAGTCAGTCACTAGTGCTGAGGGGTCCCATACTAGGACGAAACGGCCGTCCAGTGCTTCCAGGTTTTCAATAGTGGTCTAGCTTCAACTGACTCATGATTTCAACCTGTGAAATTTACTAAAATCTCCACAAAACTCATTCTGATAATAATTACACTAGTTTCATTCAACTGTAATGAATAAAAGAAAATTTGTTAGTTGTAAATATATTGAATCGAAAATTTCACATTGCAATTCACATGTTCATTATAACACAGCTATTCAGAAAGGTTAAGGTCAGTTGAAATAGCATATAGCAATTACAAACTGAATTATTTTTACATACAGTGGCAAAGTAAACAGATTTTTATATTAGGAGAGAAATAATTATATATATCACTAGTAGAGAAAGGATGAAGAAAACGAAAAGAATGAAAAGACCTTTAATAACCAAGAGAGAGGATAACGATAGGGCAAACATTTTCAAATATATATAAATCAGGGTGGTTGGTAAAATGTGATGAAAGATATTTAACACTTTCTTTCAAGTGGTGTTCGAACATGTCTATTACACGTGGTTGGACTATTTGCATTTAGAAAAAATCTAAAAGACTTTTGTTTTTTTTCTTCTTAGTTAAGAAAAACGTAGTGAAAGCTTTCATTATGTAATGGTCTTGTAGTCGATCAACACAAAAAGGAGTGAAAAAAAGACTTACACTAGACTGATCAGAATCTATAGGAAATTTTGCTTTTACTCGACGAATCATTTTACGTCTTTTATTCTCAGAAAATCCAGCATAAACAAGTAGAGAATTGGCGAATTGTACTTCAGTAATTTTTCCATTCTTTGGTTCAGCTCTTTCAAACTGAAATTTTGTTTTAAAAAAGTATACATATATAAGGTTTCACAAGAGAAAGATATAGCCAATCAATAAAGACATAAAAAATACCACCTGAGCGATCAGTCATTTGCCTTTAAAAAATTGTTCATAAGCATTATTTAAATATAGCGACTTTTCGTGAAGTCCTTCTATGAAAATGTGTAAGTTATTGCCATCATGAAACTAAATCAGTCGAAAAACTATCGAAAACAACGAACTATTATAAGTTGCTGAACACAAGACCTGTTTTACATTCAGTCAATTAGGTGGGGTGATGGGCATACGGTGGGTAGAAACAAATGTCCAATGCTTTCTAGTTATAGATAGTGTTCAGTAACTCATGATGACAACGATCGTTGATTAATGATTTGTTAATTGCAATTTAGAATAAGTGAAATAACCAATAAAACCATTGTGTACATTGACGCATAATGTTGGCTGGTTCCAGAGTCGGTTGAAAGAAAACTAGGGACGACCAAAACAAAAATTGGCATCAATCAATGAAGTCACTGACTGGTGGACTGAGTAGTGTTGGTGGCTTCAAGCTACCTGATTGGGGTCAGCGTGATTATCGTAACAAATGATTGGAGATGTAAGATGATATGTCCCAGAATCGATCGCAATGGCACAGATGCATGTACTCTTTATCTTCCTTGTACATTTTTTTTATTTTGCGAAATCTTTGTTATAAAATCATATAGCCTATACACAGTCTTGTTTATAGTTATTGATACTGCTACGAATTATACTACTTGGAGATTTATTTTGATAATTTCATCTTAATGTGCTTAAATGATGCGGTTACTTAAACCGATGTGTACACGTATGCCAGGCTGTGAATTTTATGTGGCCGATTGATTGTTATAGTGGTTTATCATGATTGGTAAGACAAAATCTTAGATTTTCAAAATCAACTAGTAGATACTAATCAATAGACGGATGTAATGATAGATGTGTGGCCTAGTGACAGACACTCACGAGACCGTAGGATTGATTAAACCCATTAAATGATTTGAAATCAAAGAAAATAATACTAATAACCAGAAAATAGGTTTTCTAATGTGATAAAACGGAATACTTATGTAGAAAATATTAGCAGAAAAAATAACATGATAAGATGTCATAGGCTATTACAGAAAATACATTTGTAGACCTTTTATTCTCCAATTAATCAAGAACCAGCTATTAAACCTAAGTTTTGGACATTGTATCAGTGGCTAGAGCGGTCAGTTCTATACCAATAATGGTTTCTTATCGTCAAAACAGTAATTAATAAAAGTTACAGATACTTGTGGTCGACAATTTGTCATAATTAAAGTTAATAGAAAATCGCATGATATGAAAAATCCATCTTAGCGGCTAAAACGTGAAACAGCGTAAGGACCAGTTTTATGGATGTTGGTACAAAGATATATCTTCATTGATATTTATTTACATAACTAATAAAAAGACTAACTTCTAGACGCATAATCTCCTCTTGTAAATCAGAATGAAATTGAAGAAATTTACTGATTGGCAACTTCTGATCACCGTTTGGACCAAAGAAATAGCGTTTGAAAGCACTATTAGAACTCCCTGGTTTCAAAGTACAACCTGTTGTTAAATTATCACGATGACGACGACCCATAGCAGTAGTGCCCATAATTACCGAACGAACCTGATAAAGCAAAAGATTGTTAACTGGTTATTATTATTATATAAAAAAATATTTGTTTCATCCATCTACAAATTTATTTCATTCTATTCTATCAAAACGATGAATGGAAACGATAATTAAAAATTGAATTGAAATAACTAAAAAAGTTCCGGATGTCGCACATAGAGATGAGCTATTATTATACGATCAGCATCAGTACTATATTGAACGAAAACTTTGTGGGGATAACCAATATCTTGTTTGTTGCGTGGCAGTCCGTTCTGTTTTATTTTACGGCAGAGAAACATGGCCATTAAGAGTAGAAGACACCCGTAAGCTACTAGCATTTGACCACAAATGCCTCAGAAATATTGCTGGCGTCTGCTGAGATCACTGGGCAAGTAATAGTGAGGTTAGACACAGCGTACTAGGGAGTGATGGTGAATCAGTTGATGAGGTTGTGAATCTACATCGACTGAGATGGTTGGGCCACGTGTTGCGTATACCTGAACACCGATTACCACGACGTTCAATGTTAACCGGTGTCCGGGATGGTTGGAAGAAAGTTACGGTCGGCCAAACCGAAATGGGGTATCAGTGCTTGAAGTCACTAACTTATAGTCTGAGCCATGTTTGTAGATGGATACGACTTGGTTGTGGTCCGCGTGACTATCGTAACCATTGGTTGGAGACTCTTGGTGACATGGCTCAGAATCAGTTACAATGGCGTTGGGGTATACACTCTCTGTCTTCCCTTAAAGTAAGAGATTAAAATCGCTTCATATCTTTCTTTCTACGAACTAATTATTTCTTCCTGTACTATATCCTTATTGCAATCTTTCTTTTATATATTACCACCTCTGAATTAACCACTTATATGAATCCGGTGTCCATCTTGTTGTGTTAGTGAGGTATGGCAACTTGAACCGATGCATATATGTGCCTGGTCCTACGCTGTAGCTGACTGACTTGTTGCAAAAATCACAGTGGAATAGTAAAATATGAAAACCAAACAATAAATACATAATTTGAACATCTGACTGTTTCTTACAAACGTGATCATTCTTTCATTTCTCCTGTCTTCGCCTTTTCCTCTTCTGTCAGTAAGAACCTACTTCCCATGCCAGATACATATTACTTATTTCCGTCAGTATACATAGCACATATCACATTATTATTGCTATTATTATTATTATTATTATTCATGAAAATCTTATCAAACTGCGCAGTTGCTGTCTAAAGAAATCTCGCCATGTATTGAGAAACCTCGGTTGAATTTTCCCAACTAACCAAACTTATAGCATTACCGAGTGTTCGTTTATCAAACAAAGTGCGAGTGTAGTGCTCATCAGCCTACTATCCATTACTCTATAACTGTGAACATGGTCTATGAAAGTAAGAGACAAGAGTGTGCTACAGGCTTTTGATCTTCGAAACATTGCGCGTATGTGATGGGATAACCAAGTGAGCAGTCTTGTGGTTAAGCACAGGATTCTAAACAGAGTTGGTAAATAGGTTGATGAGGTTGTGAATATTCGTCTACTGAAATGGTCAAAATATATGTTATGTATGCCGAACCGTCACCTACATCGACGGACGATGTTTGTTGTGATAGGTGTATTTCGGGAGAGAGATAGGAGCGAGTAGATCATGAAATGAAATCAGTCTATGAAGTCAATGAATTTTTGTCTGAACCATGTTGGTAGATGCAGATTACATGATTGAGATTTTCGTAGAAACTTTGCGCACCATGGCTGACGATGACCAAAGACAAGAATAAAAAGTATATATATGCAATATTAACTTACAACTTCAAACTCGTTTATGTCTAATTCCCCATCTCCATTAATATCAAACATACGAAAAGCTATTTCAAACTGTCGACGAGGTGCTTCAAGAAAAATTATTAATAAGCAAAAAAGTAACTGTGATATAAAATGCCAGTAGAGAATCATATTTAAAACGAGAGGTAAATAATTACACATGAAATTTTAAACAAATTAATGATGATTATGGATCAGCCAAGGATTTTATTTGCAGATATTAAATGCCTAAATATCTTCACCAGGTTGTCTACGTGCACCTATCCAGAACCTTGTGGCTTCTTTGTTAGATTTGACTGAGGTCGGAATCACACTAAGCTCCAGAGCGGCGGAAGTTCTAGCCGACTAGATCCCCATTAACAATTGTTTATGAGCTAGTAGATTAGAAAGCTTCATTAAAAGGGAAAAAAGCGAGTTGGAAACGATGTTTTTTCTTCATCTACACTAAAGCATCGAAAGACTGTGACGTGAGTGGAATCTAGAATGAGTTACACTATCAGTTAAATGATCTCAACAGAGTACTTTCGACAGACACTGTAGTGATAGCTGGAGGTTTTAATGAGCAGGCCAGGTGTTTGGATGGATAACAGGGACTCATTGGTTACAGGTCAGACAACGGTGATCATCTCTTGTGGCTTTTTGCGGAGAACAATCTGCTTTTGACCAGCACTAACTTACGTGTTACATGCGGTCCTCCATCTGTAAACCAAGTCTTCACTCGGACTAACCACACAGAGATCAGCCATCGCTGGTATGGTTGTGTACAGTGCGTTTGTTAACTGCCTGTAAAAGCTGAAATCATAATTACATTGAATGTGTGTGGAATCATATAAAATATTCACAGCTATACGGTTTTCGTTCTTACGATAATTGAAGCTGACACCATTTAGAAAACAAGACGGTATGAAACTTACAATCCCAGTACTTCATACTTAAAGTCACGTTTAAATATCAGACAAATAATCAAAAAAGTTCTGAGTGAATGCTTTTACACTTCTATGGAGCATCAAATAAACTGACTATGGAATCAGTTTTTATAATATTTATACCGATCAACTGGCAGTTACAACCAATTTACAAATTTTTGTTAGTTATCCGAATAAGAACTAATTGTGACACTAGGGATACATTTCAAGGCAAATAGCAATTAAAAATTTATAATTAACAAACAGAAAAACATTGATTTGTATCATTGAAATTGTTAAACAAGATCTATCTATGCTATTCGTGAACCTAATCTATTCAGCTAAAGCATATTTTTCTTATGCTTTCCGAAGAAACCTAAATTATTATTGGGGTCCGAATCACTCTTATAATTAGGGAAATTCACCTTAGCATGGTTGTTATGCAGTAATAATTGGTTAGTATCAATTAATCATTCCAATCACATTTATATAAAGTCCACTATATACATTCAGTTTTGGACATTAGTGTGTAAGGGTTCATCTGGTCAAAGTTACTTATATCATAAAAGAATGAGAAATCAACAGAAAAATAAACAACGAAATGAATAAAATAAAGAATTAATCTCTAATATTTGAGCAATTACAAAACTTACTCGAAAGTACAGTTAATAGGAATATAAAATCAGTAAATGTGATTAAAGCTTGATCACAAAGCTTATAAAATACTGATTCTTTAGGTATGTCCAAATTTAATTTTTCACTCTATAAATAACAAAAATCAGATAAAAAATAATAGACATGACAAGGTGTTAATTAAAAATTAAAACAATAATTCACCTTATTAACATGAGTCGAAAAGAGTCACAACCGTACATTTTGCTAAACGCAGTATACATTTAAAGATAAGGACTAGAGCTGAGTAAATAATTAGACTAAACCTTCAGAATCAAACTGCATTTACTTTGGTTTAATAATAGTTGGGTTGTATGTTTGATAAAAGTATACCATACTGACAACCTTGAGGGACTTATCAGTTGGTTAGGAAACGTTATCTAGTTATAAAGCAATTAGCAATAAAAGGCGATAACATCACAATGGGATAGTAGTTTTGATACGATAAATAATCCTTTATATCGTAACTTATTAATTATTGTAAAAGAAAAGAGTATTTTCACATATTACAGTTTGGGCTAATGTTGTAAGTTAGGGTAATAGCCTCATAAGGTATTCGTCACCAATTGACATCAATTATAATGCAAAAAGATTAGGGTTAGATAGTAAGAGTAAGACTAGAGCAATATGTTGGGATTACGCAATAAGTTTAAGGTATTTTTTTCACGAATTGACATCAGCTATAATGCAATGATAAAACAAAGGACGAAATCACAATCAATGTTACCCAGTGTTATACACGCACCAATGGCCGAGGGTGGAGAGAGTTCACTCTCTCTCTCTCGAAATGCTCTCACATGGCCACCCTTTTCTTACAAACTTAAAACCATTGAGGTTGAAATTTAAAGTCAGGAGTTAGAGTGGGAGAATAGTGTCTGGTTGCACAAGCATACTTCACTATGCATTAAATCACATCAAGTATTTTACACACACGATCTGCATCAGATATTTATTTAAGTCTAACTTAAACACCATATCATATCTTCTGTTTGGTTGCATTATAAATATTTTTATGAATTTCAAGTATTTTATGAACCGAATAGTCAATTTTTATATAGCTACTTACAACACAAATGTTGTCTGGAACAGGGCTTTTGGTTTCGCGCAAAAATAGCTGAGGAGCCGTCTTACTTTTGACTGGTTCACTTAAGACCGTCAACATGGTATAATTGTATTGTGCCTTTAACACATAATTATTACATAACGAAACATATTTTTATATGAATAGAATATCTGAAAATCATTAAATCGCTGCGCTTAAATAGTTCGAAAGCTTTTGTGAGTCCTCCTCAGCTCAACTAAATGACTGACACAACAGTATTTGATAACTGAAATTAGGGAGCGTGAATATCTGAAATGATAAGGATAGTCAATGAAGCCGCTCACATATGTGAAATCATCTAGGAAATTCTGAAAAACATAAAAGCATGATGAGATAAAGATAGCAATGTTTTTGCTGTTTTATTTGATTACGTGACCGAATTTGTATATTCCGTTGTAATATCAAGTACCATTTAGTGAACATCATCACAACAGATTCTTTAATAATGATCAGTGAGTGACTATAAACATCATGACCAAAAGATAAATAATTACGAAGCAAAAGCCATTGACTATCAAGATTAAGAGAGAGCATTATGATTACTTTGCTTTTCAGTTAATACAGATTATTAATAATGAATTATCGTAGAAACAGACAATTACGATTAATATAGAGCCTGGGACAAGTGTGCGTGACTCCAAGTTGTCATACCGCATTACCACGATGAGACGAAAATAACAATGCGAATGGTAAAGGATAAAGTAATGCGGCAGAGACAGTTCAGTCGGTCTGCTGCTCCGGTGACATCGATTAAACTGTCCTGTCCTCCATCGCCGGCAACGACTGACCTACTTAACGAGGTAGAAATTTGAGAGGAACTCCAATTCTTGAAGAGCCACATATCACCAGAATCAGATGACTTACTTCTGCCTCGTTTTAAAGATGGTGGGGGAGTGAGAGTATATAATAACCTCTCTCCATTGTTCCATCCAACCAACGACATCCTAGGAACATCTCTGATGAATGTAGGTTACGGTGGTGTGAATCGGCTGCCTAGAGAAAGACTTTTCGATCCAGAGTATGCGGAAGACATTGTTATACTGTGTGATATAATATGCAAGCCGTGCAATAAGCACTGAATGAGTGTGCGTAGGTATGGTATGCGCTTTGCGTCTTTTTAGGGCAAAGCACTTTTACAAGACTGCCAGGAGTCTGTCTGAACTCATTCATAAAAGTAATCATTTTGAAGTAATTGAGAATCCCGTGCATTCGGGCAATTACGTGAGTGATCAGATCAATTCACGTATAATAAAAGCCAGAGAAGCTTATGCTGATTTGAATTATATTTGGCCTCTTTGTATTTTAAGTCTGGCTGTAAAAAGTGGGGTCTACATGTTGGTGAGGGTAGTTTTGCTTTACGCTTGTGAGAGTTGGTCTCTGTGGATTGAAGATGCTAAAGGATTCTGTAATCGATTATCGGTGTCTTCAAGACGTTGTCAATATTCAATAGCAACGGTCTGTTGATAATGCTAAGGTTCGACAAGGTTTGTTCGGACAGCGTCATGATAACTCAATCAAAGTAACTATCTCGAAACCTAGGCTTCGGTGGCGCAAACATGTTCTATGAATGTCACTAGCGGCTTCTGTATGGTGCAGTAATTACCGAGGCTAGGACTGGGTTAGAGAAAATGGAGAGATGATTAGTGTATGAGATGGTGTTATGGTATGACTGGATTTTGTTAAACTTTCACATCTTCCTAATTGAAGCCAGGGTAGTCGGGGTCCGGCAGATGGTGCAACTCAGTGGCTTGAGACGTTATCAGATATGTCTCAGAATAGAAGCCAGTATCGATCCTGCTGTAACTTTCTTCATGAAAGTAACTTCTTGGACTGAAAGAATCCTTTCCGGTTGTATTTTTCTTAACTGAACGGCTTCTTCCATGATGATAATAATAATAATTATTATTATTATCATTTCACTCTAATGCACTAGTTTCGATCCTTTTTTGGCCTTTTTGATGATACTCATCTTCCTTTCTCTCTCTTTAAAATCTCATTTTTATTGTGTGGAGCACGTATATTTCGGTGTCTCTTTTATCAATGTTTATGTTTTCAAACAAAGAAGTAATGATAATATAGAAAAGTAAACATTAGGAGTATCGTACTAACAGTGAAAAGGTAGGTATGGAAGGATGCTGAAATTCAAGATAACGGAAAAAATAAAGGTCAAGTACACAAGTCCCATCGTGAACCGAGTCACACAATGTCTCCGACTACTGATTACAATTGTCACAAAAACCCCAACCAGGTAATCTACATCTACCAACATGGTTCAGACAAAAATTCATTGACTTCATAGACTGATTTCATTTCATGATCTACTCGCTCCTATCTCTCTCCCGAAATACACCTATCACAACAAACATCGTCCGTCGATGTAGGTGACGGTTCGGCATACATAACATATATTTTGACCATTTCAGTAGACGAATATTCACAACCTCATCAACCTATTTACCAACTCTGTTTAGAATCCTGTGCTTAACCACAAGACTGCTCACTTGGTTATCCCATCACATACGCGCAATGTTTCGAAGATCAAAAGCCTGTAGCACACTCTTGTCTCTTACTTTCATAGACCATGTTCACAGTTATAGAGTAATGGATAGTAGGCTTATGAGCACTACACTCGCACTTTGTTTGATAAACGAACACTCGGTAATGCTATAAGTTTGGTTAGTTGGGAAAGTTCAACCGAGGTTTCTCAATACATGGCGAGATTTCTTTAGACAGCAACTGCGCAGTTTGATAAGATTTTCACGATTAGTGACTTTTCACATGCCTCAGAGCTTACGAACTCATAACAAAATCATAAGTAGCATGACAAGGACTAGAGACAAAACATCGGCTTTAAATTATAGTATTTGAGGTAAAGTGCTACAAATTTTAATTATCTCAGAAAACTGAAATAATTTAGACCAACCGAGATGAGAATAAGTTAAACTAGTGATCGACAGATCATAAAATGCTTGAAGCTTTTAAGAAATAGTCTTTTCGTCGAACATAACTAACGAAGATACCTAACCTAATTATGTGAAGACACATGGTAAACAAATCTAATGCACGTTCAAGTATCATCATTTTAAATAAGTTAAAGCAAACCATTAAAATTAACCTCTACTGCAAATCGTATATCGAGCCTTGGAAAAATATACGCTTGATTGTAGAAGGATGGATGAAAACAGAGCAAGCCTGATGTTAATAATGTAGTTGGATCGAACAGCTTACAGTGGACTGGTTAATGTATATACAAAAGACTTAGGCCAGAAGCTCAGACCGATTGACCAACAGCCACGTTCCACGAAAATAAATAAAACTGTAGAAGAGTAATTTAACCCAACTTATCGATTTGTTTCACAAGTTACAGACATTTATGCTAGCAACCAAAGTCTTTGTATTCTTAAGAAACTTGTACAATCTTTCTTCACTGTCTAATTATTTGAACATTTCTTATTACGGAACTTAAATAATTCTTAATGAATATTATTTCAGTCTACTTTTTTCCGAGGTTTTTTCCTAATGTACTTCCCATTGTGAAACAGTGATTTAGGGCCTTTATTATCCTTATCACAACTAGTACACCTGTCATCATATTATCAATTTATACTTTTTAACTACCATGTTTAGTTATATTCAAGGCTGACGAAGACCTAATTGAGAACAATATTGTTCGCTTATATATGTTATTTTAATTCGCAATATGGGAAATTTAATGTATTGCGAAAAATAAAATCCTATAAATACAATCGCAGTGAACGTACCAACAGTAAATTATTTCGGTATGTGTTTCTAAC